TGCAATTATGGGATTTCTGTTTCTGTATCAATAAATATAATGAACAAGTGGTGAATAAACTGTTTATGTAGAATTGCACTACTGTGCACAATCGTGGATAAGACACTGCCTTCCATGTCAAGGGATATGGAAAGACTATAGGACTCTATATTATCAGCACTATCAGCAGGTATTTAAGGAACAACTCTATTTGGAGCTTATTGATGGAGTCGTTGCTTGTAATTTAGAACCAATTAGAACACTAGAATACTAGTATATTCATGCACGACTCAATTACTTATCAAGTTAAGTTATGCAGGAATTCACCATTTTCTCATTATAGGTAGTTTTTTCTCTGATTCTGTACGTAATTTTCACAAATAAACCCAGATAGCACAAGTATGTCTCATGGACGTTCTAAAGACATACGCTTCAGATATTCGGGACATACAAAAGACGTCCAGTTTAAGTACGACGCACGTCTTTAGGACGTCCATAGGACATACGATGTTACAAAACCAGAGGTACATACATAGGACGTCCGATTTTGGCCCGTTTTAGGTCTGAACTGGACCATTTTGGGACTTGAATCGTACATATAACGGAGGTCAAAAATATGTTTTCTTCGATGTCTTAGGTGCCAAAGTCGATCATTTTCAACAGCAATCGGAGCAAAACATCTGTTTTAAAATGAAACATTTAGAAGTTTAATTAAAAATTATGAGCAAATAAACAGCTTGTGGCATTTTTTATGACACCATATTATGAGTTCCACGCTATATATTTGAAAGTATGTGATTTTGATAATGACAAGCATTAACTGAAGGCCAAATTTTTTCAATTATTATTTTCATCCATCAATCATTACATGTATATTCAACAATAACGAAAATGCAATAGGAACATCATTTTTTGACGTACCTATTTCAAAGTTAGGAATATGTTGGGATAAGAACACCTAACCTGAAAAAATCACTTTCAGTTGCACTCAAAGTAATGAATCTGGTTGAATAACAACCCACCATTATTAGTGTCACCTATATAACAGCCTTGATAACATCCACTAACATCTCATTGCTTGTTTTTGATGTTTTCTAGTTAGAAATATGCAGGGATACACCTAACCTACAAAAATCATTTTCACTCACGTCTAATGAAGGTAATCAAATAACTACCTACTGTTAGTATCACTGAGATAACAGCCATGATAACATCTAAGTTGCAACAATTGAAACAAATATAAAGGACACCATCAAAACACCAATTATCTAATAATTATACACAAGCACACACTGCACCATAGAAAATCGTGAACGGCGAATAAGCCTCAGCAAATTGGCGGTCGATAACATCATCAAGCAAATTTAGATATGAGTATGTATTCATCTGAGTTATGACGAAAAATCATAGAATCTGCAAGATAAATATAATAATTAACGCAGTATGATTGAATTGAAATGTACGTCCTCAGGACGTCCGCGTCGTACGTCCTTGAAACGTTTGGCGTCGTACGTCCTCAGGACGTCCAAATTAGAGTCTGGGACGTTCGGCCATGAATAGGATATAAAATGGACATCCTCGGGACGTCCTATGCTATCTGGGAACTAATTGGGCTATGAAATGAATTGGAGATGGTATTCACTTTTAATATTTTTACAGATGCTGCACGAAAGCAATTTCCTAGCTGCTTGTCAGATACCGCATAGGTTGATATACCGTATTGTAGAAACAAACTACTTCCTGGTTTCGACTGCTAACACTGAGGTTCAAAAGAGAAATATCCAACAGACAATGTTTCATTAATGTTTATGAACATATCATTTGACAATGCACGCATAATATCTTTTGTACCAGATGCATTTCTATTGAAACGTTTCCTATGAAACATTTTACACCTAGGTCATTTCTATTCTATTATGTTTCACAAACGTGTATGAGTCGAAATTTGGGACGTTTCAAGTGGAAAATGATTGGTTTCAGAAATGTGTCAGACACATATTTTTGTTTAATGTAGGAATCTGATAATGTCAGCATATAGCAAGGAAAATAAATGTGCAACTCCGCCATAACTTCGTAAAATTTGTATATCGCTACTTCAAAGTTGGGAACCAACTCCCCAGAAGTCGAAACTTGTGCGGGGTTAGGAAGAGCGGGACCTACAACTTATAGTGGAATCCGAACCACTTCTAGGGCATCGAGGTGCTGCCAGGATTACAACCATGAATCACACATTTCAATGAAAAATGCTCAGCCGATAGCCGGATTCGAACCAACGACAGTATACCTTCGTATCGTGACCGGCTATCTAGTCAATTTCAGCGAATAGACAAACTTGGCTACAGCTCGAGATCTCAATTGTTGCCTTCGAATTTGAATTACTTTTATATTTTCTAATCATATGGGGGTACAAGGAGAAGGAGCAGCAGGACTTAGGAGCAAGACATATATATACATTCAATGACCATTTGGTCATAAATTATATTTATAATCGTCAGTGATACATTGCTCGCCAGTGGACATGGTCTGATATTCGAAGGAGCAAGAAAGCTACCAAATGGGATTAGGTAACATTAGTGAGAGAGATACACGACTGCTCACCAGAGCAACATCGGTGATTCTATGACTGCTAGCGAGCAGTGTATATCACTGAGGATGATCCTATACCTTGGTCATTGGTACATATACATATATCTAACTTGCTCCTGAGAATTTCAGAATCCCAACAAACATTCATTTGCGGTAAAATCAAGGCTCAATACATTGCTCCCATAACTAAATGTTGCGGCAAAATAACTAGCGTTGGTACGGAGCCATCAAGAAAAGGATACTCCGTACAGACATCCAGGAGATATTCCATGTACTCTGAGTATAACCATATATGATATCTCAAAGAAGAAAACTGAGCAAAACACGGGAGTATCCCGCGATGCCCAATTCCCCCGATGCCCAATTCCTACGATGCCCACCCTCATGTCGACGCGATTACGAAGATGGCTGAAGAACGCAACGTTGCGAGGTTAACAGAAAAATTCAGCAAGCACAAGTTTCCCACCATGCCAACTTTTTATAGATTTCCACGATGCCCACTTTCAATACTTTCTCACGATGCCCAATTCCTACGAAGCCCAATTCTTACCATCCCCACCTTCTTTGAATTCCCACCATGATGAATAAGGTGGGCATATTTTGAATTGGGCATCGTAGGAATTGGGCATCGTGGGAATGTATCAAAAGTGGGCATGGAGGGAATCGATATTTCATAACATGAAAAACACGGGAAAACGCGGAAAAAATTCGACATATTTATCTTCTCTCTATTTTTGTAAGACAAGAGCAAGCATATTTCTGATTGTCATTTCAATCAAAATATGAAAATAGTTCGACTCCTCAGATCGGAGGTGCTCGCCCTAGACTCTAGTGAATTTTCTGGACTGGATACTTACTGCAGATAACAGAGAATAACAAAACACACAACTGAAGAATCAGATACTAAGGGAATCTTTGAATATTCGTATCTTGGCTAGATGAAACAAGGATTTGAAGATGAAGGTGACAGACCATATTGACGTGAGGAAGTTAGGTTGACAATGTAGGCATTACGTTATTGTTACTAGGCGGGCCACAAAATTATTTGCGGTTTCAAATAAAATTTCATTCATTATTAGGAAAGCTAGGATATTTTTTCATTATTCTGAAGCATCTTCATTGCCGTATCATCCATAAGGCAAACTAGGCACGTGCCTAGAGGTGCGAGATTACAAAAGGGCGCGTCGTCGTCGAAAATGTGCGTTGGAGGAACGGGAAACGTTGGTGCGGCCCGTGAAATTCCCGATATTCACAATAACTACCCCTCTCACTTTCTTCACCCTGAACACATATATTTAGTAGTTATGATTTATAATTTCTTATGACCACTAGAGGGGCGCCGATGAGATGCTTTCCTAGGGCGCTGTCGACATTTAATCCGCCCCTGAGCATCTTGCAAGTATATCAGTATTGACTAAGTGATTATTAGGGACCAGGGTCATATTGAATCCCATAAGGTAATTATTACTAGTTACAAATCTGGCAGCGTCGAAATATGTGGTTCTCCTTTTTATGCGGAAGTCAGAATTCAGATACGATGAATTTCGGTTCGGTTCATATGACGTCATCGAAGCTGACGTTTTTTGTAGGTGCCAAATTTCAATATCAAAAAATACTTTTGCGATGATTTCAAATGACGAATGATTGCATCATATACCATTATACACGGAATGATATATGAAATAGAGGAATGTGGCATAAATTCGACTAGTGTGTACCCATTCAGCCGAAAACATCACCCGCGGCACACGGTTTGTTTGAACTTTTCAGAGGGACCGCGGCAGGTTGTGCGGTATAGATCTCTTTTGACCAAGCTGTCTCAATTGACTTTCCAGAGACTATATACATGTGCTGTGTGGATGATTGTGATAAAAACGAAGAAAACTTGTTTGCGTTTCGACAACAAAAAAGATGTGGACTGTATAAATTTAGTTAGACCGACTGAAAGCAGAAAAGAAAGCGGCTTACCTCTTTGATCGACAAATTATTCCTTTATCTGCCGGCCGGCCAGGAACTCAGCTTAGCTAACTATTGCAGCGTGTAACTTCTTGAGTTTATTGTTGCACCAAACCATCACCAAACTATTTATTATTGAAAAATGTTTCTCACGAAATCAAACCAAAAATTGCGAAGCGTCTTCACCTCGACTCTCATTCGAAAAACGTTCTCGCATGCGCTGCTCGGATGAGTTCGCACTGTCCTCGATAGCATTTGGCAAAGGCTCACACTACATATGCAACCAACAATACATTTCTGCTTATCAGATATGCACGAAAATTTGCAAACTTCAGTAAAATAAAGAAATTATGAAAATGATAACATTAATTATTGTTGTTATACCCCAAACCTATATACAAAAAAAGAAACTCAAAAACTGAAAATATTTGAACAAGCCAAACTCCAACAAAACTCAAACATTATACTGACATTTTATTGAAAAATATAATCTCAATGGTTTTTATATCAACTGAAATCACATCATTATAATCATATTAAATAAATTAAATAATATTAATATAATATCATTTTACAAATAAAAGTCAAAATTTCCATGATAGTCGACTTCAACAGTATAACAAAATATATTTGTGTGAATGCGCCTACTTATTTTCTTATTATGAGAAGTTAACTAGGTGCATTTCTCCTATGTAATTGGATTGTCCGCATTTTGGTATTAGATTTATTCGATTTCTTCTCAGCTGAGTGAAAAGTCATAAACCGATTATTCTTATAACTAGAAGATGTCGAATCTGCTATACTGCGACCATCGCCTTCATCTCTGCGGGACATTTCAGAAAACGGAGATAATCGTTTGGACTCAACTTCTTCATTTCTCTTCTGTTCCGACCTGTAAAGTTACAGAAAAATGTATGGATGTATAGGTAAAGTTCTCCAATTAGTTCCATGAATGAATGATTTGTAAACAGACCTTCTAAAACAGAATTTATGATTTTTGAGATTCTTTGTAGATCTTCTATGCTTATATATTGAAAGTACCCGACATTTCGAGGTGATCTAATAAGTTCAGGGGTTCGCAAAATATGTAGTTTTCTTTCAAGAACATCTCGTGAACGTTTGATCGGTGGAAAAAGTTTGATTGAAGAATGATGCCCATATAATTTACCACTAAAATGCTCCCGATAATGTTTTTCGTCCTTCTTATAGTTTTTGAGAAATATCCTCATCAAAATAGTACCTATTTCGAATAGAAAAAACAGAAATCATAATCGTCTCTATACCTGCAATATGCCTCTCTTCTCATAATTTCCTATTCATTTCAAGATATTTAAAAACCTCATCGATGAAACGCAGCACATGTTTCAGTTACTCAACTCTCATTGTTGAACTAACCCACTGTTACTTATTGTTGTTGTTGTTGTTCTTTATTACCCCAAGAAACATATTTGTTTATAATAGGGATACATAAACATATAATATATATATATATAAAACAATAAAAAAAAACTAATTAACAAGTTATGTCAATATAACATAATAATCAAAATAAAACCATTCCAAGTATTCAAATGAGAATAAATTGCTCCGTTTATTGTGTCATGAGTATATATTTTATCATATTGACTTTGAATCTTGTTTCATCATCAATATGTTTCAAATCATAAGGTAATGAATTATATAAAATCAATGATGGAGTTATATGGGTTTGCTATTAATGAATTCAACTGTCTCGTTGCATGAGTATGAATTGTATTTACTTCAGTAAAGTTCGAGTTGGATATTTTTATTTTTTTTCTCACAAAATGGATGAAAGAACAAATTTTCATTTTATATAAAGATGATAAATTCAACAGATTTTCTGGTTTGTAAAGATTAATAGTTGGTTCCAGGTAATGTAAATTGTAAATGCACTTAATTGTTTTATTTTGTAATTTCATTAATGGTTTCAAATGTGATATACTTGTGCTTCCCCAAATTGATATTAAATATTGTAATTTTGAGTAAATCAGACAGAAATATATATTCTTCAAATATCTAAGAGGAATGAAATTTCGAATTTTGTATAAAATGCCAGTAATTGGATTGAAATACAAATCTTGCAGGGAACGTGAGAGTAACTTAAAGTAGGTATCCCTTTAGTAGTGAATAATTCGGGCAATTTCATTGTAATACTCTAATTCATGTTCTATACTAGATTAGGTTAGGTTCCATGTGAGTGAGGCGAACACCCCCCCTCCACTGCGACCCAAGATGGGTCTATTGTGGCTCATGTTCTATACTATGTTGGTATCTTCCAGTTCCATGGTCGAATTTATTTAGCTATCAAGAACAATGAGAGTATAATGATCATCAGTATAGCCGTGTGATTTGCATAAATTGTGATGTAACTTATAAAACTATATAAAAGGCGCCATTTCGTTCTGACTGTTTTGTTTTTCTAGAGTTAAAAAGACCACTGAATGTATGGTAATGCATGAAAACTATACTATTAATGAAAAGTGAGTTATGATACACCGATATGCTGTGCTTATCCAGGCGTTCCCGAAGAATACAAAAGGCAGAATACAGTGTTGAGGCACTTTCATGACGATCATTGATGGAATCAATCATCCAATAATTTCGTTACTATCGATAACAGAACACATACCTATACTTTATCGTATGTAATATGTCATGTAATTCATTAGTTCGCCAAGGGCCAAGGGCTCAACCACCAAAGACAGGTCGATCTGAGGCCTGCTGAGGTTGAACATACATACAACCAGAAAAAAAAAACCAACTCCGTCAGAAGTCTGTAGGTTTAGAAGACTGAGATTAGGTGAGAGTAATATAGTAGATCTGGGTCGCAATGATCGAGAGATCTCCTCTAACCTATACGTATGTATACGCTGCCTAAATCTACAATTTACTGCGAATAAGATGAAAGTTGAGGTGACTTTCAACTCTATCAGTGCCATTTGCTTTGAGCTTTCTATCACAAACTAAAATAACATGTGAAATATTAGATAGATGATATCAATGAATGTATCCTAAAAGTAACGTTTCCGCCCAATTTTTTTGTTTTAGAAGTTGTACTTTTTGATAAATCGATGAAGTCATGAAGTTTTTGTATTATCATGAATGAATAAAATGTATCTCACCTAAGTAGGCATTTTTTATTCTTGACTTCTCTTTCCAATATGTCTGCTGTAGTCAGATCTGAGCTCTGGATGTGCTGCAAGGCACCAGCAGTTTCACTTAACCAAGGTTTACTGGATTTCGTTTTGCAACTACAAGTATCTGAATTGCATCGCTGACAGGAGGTCGCCTTATTGATTTCTCCACTTATATCTTCATCGTTCAGTATACCTAATAAGCAATGATGGTTAGATACAAATGTCTCGATTTATTGAAAAGAATGCTCACCTAAAGTGATTTTTTCCAAAACTGAGTTATCGGTCTTGGGAGCCGACTGTGATGATTGGTTCAGAAGCAGCTTCGACAGTGGAGGTGCTAATCCCAAACCGATGTTTCTCTCATGGTATACCTCAGAAATCGTTGGTGTTAACTCTCTGTTGATGTGTCTCAGTTGTGTTGCTAAAATTGTATCGTGTATCGCTGAAAAAAATACATATTCATTTATAACGAAAAAATGTCCCATTAAATTATAGTGACTGAAAAATAATTGATTATTATTTTCCTCTATAACGGTCCGTTCTAGCGATAAAAAGCAGGAGAACCTTTTGCAGTTCAAGGATCAAGCTGACAATTTTTAGGCACTTATCGAGCAGGGTGTTGGAAATTTAAGCATCAAAGATTAATCTTAGTCCACCCCTGATAAACTAATAACGCTAAATAAATTGCAAAGACACTATTTCAAAGGGTCATAACATCAGTTATTATAAAAAAAAGACTTCCAGTGGCGTCCTTTAGGGGCCCAGGTCTCTGTAAAGAGAGCCTGTAAGAAGAAAAATCATAGGGACTTGTCACCCTTTTTTACCTCGCTTTTATTAGCTTGGTATGTATGTTTGTATCAACGGAATCTTCGAACGTGATTTTGAATTGAAACTTTGCACAATTAAGTTGATAGTTTTGTTCCATTATATCTTCATCAGGATCTTCTGGATGGGCGATTTGTTTTTCGAATAAAAATGCTGATCGAATGATATTCCGCCATCAAAATTTCAAATGTTCCGTCACCAAAATTTCAAATCTACGTTTTTTTTCCTTCGAATAATGTAATAGTTTTGTTCCATTATCCTGATCAGGACCTTCATCCAGAGATACACACTTATCAAACTAGGTGATTTTATATGAAATTCTTCCTTACACTCAGGTAAAAATGCGGTGTGTCCTATTCAAATAAAAATGTTGAATTTCACAAAAACAAAGAATGTAAATGTTATGTTATAGGTATTCTGTTATTATAGTTTGAAATGAGTTAGCAACATGTCAAGTCCGACTATTTCTCGAGGGCTTTTTCACTGAACATATTATAGTATGGCTCGTTGCTCCTTAGCCTTTATGGTCCCATCCGGATGGACGCATGAAACTTGACATGCCTGTATATTCCATGTGTATGTTCCTATTGTTCTAATTTCGATTTACTGCAAGTGATTTTTTCTCTTCACGCAATCTAGGAGGATTGAAAACGGCGTCCTAAGAAAATTCAAACATCGACCGACGATATACGCCAGGAAATTACACTTTTTGGGGACACAATTTTGAGTTATATCCGATTTTTTGGGTAGGAAATCATTTGATAATGAAGATGATGGAAAGTCCTGATTTCGATATGACAACGGAAAATGAAAAACTCCACCGCCCCGCTTGAGAGTTGAACTTACAACCTCTGGGTTACATGCCCAACGCTCTGCCAATTAAGCTAACGAGAAATCCGTCGATCAATCGGCAGGAAGGTCGAGTTCTCATCACGGACCAGGTGGCAGAATTCTTCCAATTCCCGAAGTCACTCGAAATCATGCACTATATGAAGTATCGCTGGCAGAATGGTACTATACAGTCTCCATTTGTTCCCGCTCGTCCTCTGACATTGTTTTTCTTTGTATACGGAAATGTCCGCAAGTAATCTATACATAGGAGTGAGTGATAATTCTTGTTAATTACTCGAACGAAAATGTACATAATAACGAAAATGAAAAAAGTCTACCGACCCGCTTGAGAGTTGAACTTACAACCTCTGGGTTACATGCCCAACGCTTTGCGTTTGCGACATCCGTAGATCAATCGGCAGGGAGGTAAACGTCTCATCACACACCAGGCGGCAGAATCTTTCCAATTCCCGAAATCACTCGAAATCATGCACTATATGAAGTACCGCTGACAGGATGGTACTATACAAACTCCATTTTTTCCCGTTCGTCGTCTGACAGTGTTTTTATTACTAGGGCCCCTTGTTGTAAGTTGACGTATTTATCATCTTAATAGGATACGGACAGATCCTCGTCTCCTCTCACTCTAAAGTCTTTGTGAAACAGTTATATAGTTCCATATCTTCATTCATTTCTGATGGGGATAAACCAGGGCCTACTCTATCTCACCGGGCCGGAGCATCGCTTTCGTGACGTCACACTAGTAGGGACAAAATCGAGGCGTTGGAAATTGCGTTTCCCAATTCATTGATGTACCACGGGAAAACGGTAACAGTTATCAAAAAATGTCAACAGATCAAATATGTACGGAACAGACTTTCTCAAGAGATGAATCAATATTTACTGATTTACGATTAATAGATCAAGAAATATACCATATCAAAATGAATTGACTACATTCAGAATTGTCATTTTTTAAACAGCTGCTACAATTTCAATATTCAATTCACAGAAATGATTCAACCGTGCAAAGGCTTCTCATAGTACGTAGATTGACTGTAATTTCTTTCAAAATTCCCAAGAGCCAATAAACCGATATTTCAATTCAAGTAAAATGGTGATTCAGATGATTATTAGACTAGTTCAAAAAGTTTAGACGGCCCCCCCATGCTAAACCTATTAGTTGTGGATATATGCTGTCACTGACTTTTTTGTAGTAGATTTCATTGCCTACAAATCGATATAATACACTTTTACTGTATCTCAGAGGATTTTAGCAGCGTTTATGTCGAAAGATAATCTGGACACACTTTGTTGACGTTAGAAATTATATACCTACCCGAGTCGAAGTTATCACGCAAAAACCCTGATAGCGAATCAATTATTTTCAGCTATGGAGTATAGAGTATATATTTTTGAAATAATCCTTTCGTTGTCAACCTCGAAAGATGTCGAACAGCGCTTTATCAGGACTCCTTCATCCATAGAACGGCTAGGCTCTGGAATTCATTGCCTGTGGAAGTATTCCCAACAACATATAATCTCCAAAAGTTCAAAAAAAATTCCAATAACTACTTCCTGTCCCTATCCTCCCTAGGAACGCACGATGATCTTTGAACATTATAGGAATTCCCTTTCGTGCGCTCCAAGCGATTAAAAAAAAAGATAAATTGATTTGAAAACAAACTAAAAAATGGGCTCAAAGCTTCATATTCACCCGGAAAGTCTGATGAGTCTTCTTTTCTTATTATTCTACTGAATCCCGCTATAATTTCATATGTAATACCTAATTATTCAACACAATATTCAAAATAGTTTTCAAAATATCAAAAGATCCACAACTGGAACATGAGTAATGAAACGTGCATTGCCCTTTGGGAAATACCGCGAAATCGTTAATACGGGAAAATTAGGTAGGTATAATACTAGACATATTTTTACGCGCTCTTTATTTCTAAATTCATTTCGGACTCATTGTAGGTAGCTCAATAATTTTCTCACTATTTAATTGATGCATTATCCTAGTTTGACATACTCAGTCAGTTTCATTTTAAATGGATTCTAAATTGGCAAAAAATATTATTCCGTAGTACAACGTGCTGTGATTTTCATAAAAATTTAATTTCTTAACATCATCATAAATCGGTAATGGTTCCTCCTAATGAGTTTATTTTTCTACCGAAAGTTGGGTAGTTCTTCAGGGATCAATTCGTCTCGATTGAGTGTGCTTTTAATTTTTAAAGTTAATGAGCCATGCCCTTTCAATTACGCACGCGCCGATATGAAATGATGTGAATCTCAACCTACTAGTGTGACGTCAGCATCGAGGTAGAGGGGATAGACTACAGCCCGGTAAGATAGAGTAGGCCCTGGATATAAACACTGGGTTTCTGACATTGGTTGTTTTTTAGGTTATATTGAGGACATTGGCGTATCATACGTAATTTCCACATGTAATTTCTCATTCAACTCTACATATTATATCCAAATGGTGATGATAGTTTTCGAGTTTTTGATTTTTCAACTCCAGCATAATCTTTGTGAGGCAGTGAGCAAATGTTTCTGAACGTTTAATACGTTTTACCATAGATCTAATTACACAATAGATGGTCAACGTATATGGCGAACATTCTGCCTGTGCGAATTATTTGCCATCTATTAGGTAGTAGCCGAACGTCTAAAAATAACAGATCGCTAATTTTTCATAAACCTTAGCTAAATCAGAGGGTGTGTATAATTTCTGGGTAAATCGTAGGCGGGGCTTGTTCAATGGAATTCGTGTCTAAAAATAAACAACGTGGCATCGTAGAGGGGGAATGGGTAATATGGAATTATAAACATCTCAATATGGAAATTCATAAATCGTTGATCTAACCATAGATATCTAACTAATTACGGACTAAAACGGAATAATCGGATCATGCACTATTGAAGTTTCAACCATGAATCATAAAACGATAAAACGAATCATAAGTATATAAATTAAATACCTATGTTTTATATAAGTACCGGATCTATGATTTAGATCTATGACAATATATACCCTTTCATTTATTCCATGGGCGTCACTACTGCTTGGCAAGGGGGCTGTGCAACTCTGGCTAATTTGTTTTCTTGAAATATTCAGGTATCTATATTGTGATGGTATGAGGTTACCTACTGTGATTTAAGTAAGCAGGTGAGTTTAGTTATCAGTAGTAATATCCCTAGGGCCTAGGACATTAATAATAGACGAGATAATTTTATGACAATCGGAAGCTCCTTTCCAGGACGAGCTTGAGACATAAGACATAATATTATGACGCATTTGTCAATGTCGGAAGGATATTCAGCAGAAAATTTACTCGACAATCGTGTTGTCATAGTGATTGATAATTGCACTGAATGCAATTATCAATGTAATGTTGACATGATTGGGTGAAATTGTATCATATGACACAAAATGATGAAATTCGAATGGTTGTTAGAACTGACAAGAAATTTTCAATTAAAGGACTGTTGATGTCTCGAGTGTTTATGAAAATATGAATCAAGAAAAATTAGTCAACAGGTAGGTAGGTACCAACTAGAATATGTTTTTGTTTTTTTTTTCGAGCAATCGAAAATGTTTATTTTGTTCTTCAATACATTTTATACATTAATATGTACTGAAAAAATATCTAGCACAGATGTTTGTTTCTATGGACTTAACCTCACAAAATATGAATATTCGAAAAGGGATATCTATATATCTAACTACTTGATCAAAAGGCGTTTGATATTGACCAAAAACGATACGTTATTCCACATTAAATATGGCGCACGTCTCAATGTGGTGGACTTTTTCTTCTTAATCTCGAAAATTGAAAATTTTGCAATGATCATTCACTACTAAGTTATTTTTTCTTCGTTGTGAGATTGAAATAGCATTTTGGTTGTGCAACAATATGTATTTACTGGAATATTCACATCATATATATAGGTACATTATGAAACTCAAAAGTATTCAGGTACTTCTCCAGTCTGGAAGATCATTCTGGAATTCAATTCGTAATAAAATAATTATAAAGAAACTAGTACGTATTACAGCTTGTTTTAATGAAATAATATCCAACATTGTTTAAGGAAAATAAGAGCTATCCAAACGCAAAAAAAACAGGAAACCTGAATCAATTGAGATTACCTCAGAAGGTAGATATACTTATAATTTCTCAACTTTTCAATATATACCTACTCAATTTCTGATGTTTTTTAGTTTCTGATTTTTTATTATACTTGATGGACATTTCTTTACATTCTCTATAAAGTTCACATAGTATGAGATGATCCACAATAAAATCTATGTGCTCTTTACATTCAACTCTTTGGAGAATTTGGCACTTCTTTTTAAAAATTTGATTTTTAATAAATAATCTTGTTTTATTTCTATATGGCTATTTCCACTTTTAACCATTTTTCGATATAAATTTGCACAATAGCTCGCTATACAGTGTGTCCCACTTACCATGCTCACCATGGGTATCTTTTTAACGGTGAGAGATACGAGGTCGGTTAAATGACACCAAATGTGGAGTTTGTCAAGGACAAGGCCAACTATAATGTGAAAAAATATTTTGATAAAATCTATTCGTTTTTGTTTTATACGCAAAAAACAGATTTTGATCATTTTCATGTCTCCTCCGTAACTTCTTTATTTATGAAAATATCCAAATAGGAATTTCACATTCTCATGGCAGTTTTTCAAGGTGATTTCGAAAAAAATATGAAATTTATACCAACTCTTCTAGAATTTGAGATATCAGCACCAACTTTAGTTTTTCAAATGTAGGTCATAGTTCACTATGATAGTTACAAATAACTTTTTTTTTCTCTTACAGATGATATGTCGCAGTAATAGTTTTGTGTTGATAACAACGGAGTTATCGTCATTTATACAAAAACAAAAAATTATTTGGAAGCCGCCATCTTGAATTTATGAATTTTAACGAAAGAATCATGATCTCCGACCTCAAAAACCACCACTTACCAATTTTGAATGGAATCGGACCAATTCTTGTCCGCCATCTTGGAGCAGCCATTTTTTTTTAATTTCAACAAAAATTCCATAATGTATTGTCACCCGAATTATGAACACCTGCCAGATTTTAAGTTAATCGGAGTTATGGATTTTTTGTTGAAATTAAAAAAAATGGCTGCTCCAAGATGGCGGACAAGATTTGGTCCGATTCCATTCAAAATTGGTAAGTGGGGGTTTTTGAGGTCGGAGATCATGATTTTTTTGTTGAAATTTATAAATTCAAAATGGCGGCTTCCAAATAATTTCTTGTTTTTGTATAAATGACGATAACTCCGTTGTTATCATCACAAAACTATTACTGCGATATATCATCTGTAAGAGAAAAAAAAAGTTATTTGTAACTAAGTCATAGTGAGCTATGACCTACATTTGAAAAACTAAAGTTGGTGCTGATATCTCAAATTCTAGAAGAGTTGGTATAAATTTCATATTTTTTTTCGAAATTACTTCGAAAAACTGCCATGAGATTGTGAAATTCCCATTTGAATATTTTCATAAATAAAGGAGTTACGGAGGAGACATGAAAATGATCAAAATCTGTTTTTTGTGTATAAAACAAAAACGAATAAATTTTTTCAAAATATTTTTTCACATTATAGTTGGCCATGACAAACTCCACATTTGGTGTCATTTAACCGACCTCGTATCTCTCACCGTTAAAAAGATACCCATGGTGAGCATGGTAAGTGGGACACACTGTATAACACGTTGGATAATACACACGTAATTGAACACAATGAATTGAAATACCTAATTTCTTCTTCTTATACCTATCTACCTGAGATATATTATTTACCCATTACCCCAATATCTATGCCTACCTAATTTCACCTTGCCACGCTTACCCCTACCATATTGTGCCCTTTCTTTTTATCATAGATCTAATTCCAATCAAATACGTATCAAAAATTCGACCGATACCCGAATTACCTCAATATCTACCTGTCTTATTTTTTATTCTCTGGCATTTCTCAACCCCCTAATCAAACTCAGAGCATAGATCTCTCAGAGGTAATTTCCGAATCTCTACGAATTCTTCCACATCTGTGCATATTTCATTTCATTTCGAGCGACATCCGATGCACGGGGGGGCAAGAGATCTAAATACACGCGGAAAGAATACCTATTAATTATTTTGCAATTTGTTCTGCCATAAGAATCTAGCAAGAGCAAGACGGCAGCGGCAGACGGCTTCCTGACCTACCGCATATAACCCCTTTCATCCCTATCCCTTCCACTTCTAATCATAAATCATTCCAAGCTCCGAGCCACGTCGTTACGCCACGCCCCATATCGTGAAGAACAAGTTGGCGAAACTGATTTTCCATTTCTACCAACAGTGTTTGATGCAGAAACAGCACCATCTAGCAACTCAAATCCAGTACTAAAAAATTTCACATCCAAATCGTGAGCGCGATAAATTTACACGGCGGTTGTCCATCTATTGTGTAATTAGATCTATGGTTTTACCAAATGGGACTGTTAGGCAGTACCTATCAATAAATGAATTTTAATTTCAGACTAAGCCTTATGGTTGGGAAATGGTGAAAAATTGTATGTAGGTATTCAAACTGATGTGCTCATATGTCAAGTGTGCTGTAAATATTCATGTTGGGGATCATTTTTGCAGTTTCTCACGAACACTTTATATTTCCTGAATGTAGGTATAATGTTTTGAATGGTAGGGCATATGCCTCTTCTTTTAATCCTCCGTTTTAATCAAAACTGTTTCTACTAAAATGCATTCAAAAACTAGTGGAGTGGATAATTATAGGCACAATGAGATAATATGTGATTTCGTATAAGTTTTACCTCGGATATTTTGCTGATGTATTTACCAATTTTCCCATTCGGTCACTTCACTTTCCATGTTCTAAGTTCATTATTTGTATTTGATGGAAAGCTGACAAATTCAAGTTTTCCATCCAACTGATTGATACAGCCTAACGCAGCACATTTTATCATATTTCCAAAACAGAATTGAATAATGTCGTATCAAGATAAAGTATGAAATTAGAATTTGGAAAGATCTCTTTTAAGGCAATGACATGTCAGGGACGCCAATGCACGAAACCAAAGTCACTGATCAAAAGAAAAAGGAGCTATGATCTGCCCGTACCCTGTTAGATGAAAAATACGTCAGTTTGCATCAAGGGACCCTAGTTTTTACTTGTATACGAAAATGTCCGCAAGCAATTTATACATAGAAGTGAGTGATAATTTTTGTCGGATACTCGACGGAGAAGATACATATAATAATGAAGATGATGGAGAACCCTAATTTCGGGTTACATGCCCAACGCTTTGCCAATTGAGCCCGTTAGCTCACGCGGGGCGGTGGAGTTTTTTCATTTTCCGTTGTCACTCGAAATTGGGGCTTTCCATCATCTTCATTATTATAATATGTATCTTTTTGGTAAAGTAATAACCGACAAAAATTATCACTCACTCCTATGTGAGAAATCATTATCCAACATTTTTTATTTATGTTTTCTTCAGAATGTTCCAGATGGGACCGTATCTTCATGTTTGAGTTAATACAAGCCGTACTATTATGAAACTCTGTTTTTGTTTTCAATGAACAATTTCCAAGATATTTATAACAATTCCCATTTTCTCTACAGCGCCCAATTTTCTGATATAAAGGTTCTCACCCATCGACGTGTTGGTTGATTTTCCATCATTCTTATTTTCTTGTTTCGTCTCTTCTTTTTCTGACGTTGAAGCGATGGAAGCCAGATTATTTGCGGCCTCGGAGTCGTTGGGGGAAAAGTACAAAAGACGCTCGTTCATCGGCAAAGTTTCTTCGCTGGGCAGGGTTATTGGTTTCCGCGCCTGATTCGGCTGTGAATGGATATTCTGCGCTGAAGTTACCTGAAGAAAAAGAAATATTGAGTTTTGGTCGATAAATTCATACGAACATGCAACTACATAAAAGAGCCAGAAGCTTTTTGTTATTTGATTACCTATATTTATTAGACAACAACAAAAATACACAGAATTGTTATTCCAGATTTTTTTGAGATTTTCTCTCGTCTCTATAAAATAAAAATATGAATACTATTTCAATATTCGTGTAATTGGGAAGAATAAGATGATTTGCCCCAAAATGTCACTGCGTTCAAAGAATTTTCCTATCAGACAGCATAAAAGAAAAATGCACTAGCTTGTCAGTGACAATTTGTATTGAAAAAGGTTTGGAGAAGAGAAATAAAGGTATATGGAAAATATCAAATTTTTACTTATCTTTGGAAGTTTCAGGAACGAATCTGCTCCCGTTTTCAACATAAAAAATGGATTTTTGTATTGCAAATTCGTATTTGTCCTGACACTTCTCAGTTCTCAGTGGGTGACGTTGGCAATCAAATGAGTTACAGGATGTTCTCATTAATTAATCTTGAATTTATCATTTTCAGATTTCAGTAGTGAATACCATGGTATATCTATATCAACTGAACAGGAAACAATGCTATTGTCTCCGTTCAGAAGAATTCAAGCAGATTCCTTGATTTTTCTCTTCTGATTGTTATCTCCTTTTCCAATGATTTTAATATTATTTCACTCTGCCATATGTTGTCCATCTTCAGACATAGATAGAACATGGTATCCACTACTGAAATCTGAAAATGAAAATGGTAAATTCAAGATTAATTAATGAAAACATCCTGTAACTCATTTGATTGCCAACGTCACCAATTGTCACTGAGAACTGAAAAGTGTCAGGACAAATACGAATTTGCGATACAAAAAAATCCATTTTTTATGTTGAAAACGGGAGCAGATTCATTCCCAAAAATCCCAAAGATAAGTAAAAATTTGATATTTTTTCCTCTTCTCCAAACCTTTTCAATACAAATTGTCACTGACAAGCTAGTGAATTTTTCTTTTTGGCTCTCTGATAGGAAAATTCTTTGAACGCAGTGACATTTTGGGGCAAATCATCTGATTTGTCCCAACTACACATATATTGAAATAGTATTCATATTTTTATTTTATAGAGATGAGGAAAAAAAATCCCCAAAAAAATCTGGACTAATGAATGTACCACCTCCTCGATTGACCTACAGATAGTATACAAAATTGTATTTGAAAAAAAAAACACAAATAGCTCTGAAACGGTTACAGTTAGCTTCAAAATCTCACAAGGAATGATATCACCATTGAAGTGTATACATTTTCTGTATCTTAACTGACTGATAAAATGGTGATGCTCGAATCTGGGACACACTATATACAAGGTGTTTCATAACTAAAATTGGAAATATTTCAGCTATAACACCCTGAGCTCAAAATATGGGGTTTCAACCCAAATCACTTGGATAAAATGTGTTTCCTGTCTGTTACAGGGTGTTCCAATTTTTTTACATTATAAAATTCAAAAATCATTATGTACATGTTTAATGAAATATCTAAAAAAATAATTACTCCAGTGAAAGTATTGAAGAATCAAAAAATTGTAATAAATTGGTAATTACGCAAGTGGCGAAGAATTTAAGAAGGATCAACCAGTCACTTGCCCCTGTCGTACGCCTCTAGAAGCAATCAGAAACGTTCATTTCACATAGTTCGGTAAGGTTTATAGTATCTACTGTTACTGATAAATAATAAAGATACTCTGTATTCATATGATGGTATCAGATACTCTGTATATGATGGTATCCAAGATAATAGTAATCATCAATCTGATGTTTTCTATCTGAACTGAGTCTTGTTAAGTTTTGTGAACATATCGTTATTATATCGAAAATAGTATTTCATTCATTGTAATTGATAAAGTGGTCACCACCACTGATACCATCATATGATTACAGAGTATCTTTATTATTTATCAGTAACATCTACACTTCCCGAAAAATACGACAATGATACGTCAATTAGTTTCAAACAACTAGGCACAAATAATTTTTCAATTCAACAACCTGTAACTAAGACAGAACATACATTTTAACTTGGTGAATTGAGTGAAATCTTCATGTTTTGCGCCCAGGGATCTATAGTTCAAATATTTTCAATTAGTAATGACTGTGTGTATGTATTTGACAGTTTTTGTAATAAAATGAGCAAAACTGTCAAATACATACAGGGACTCTAGCAACAACCTCCTAATTTGGAACCCGTTGACCGATTTTCCAAAAGCAAATTCCAGTATAATAGATAGTACCTACCCAACGAACTTTCTTCGGAAATGTGGAGAAATCTCAAATATTCTAATTATCAACATACCTACTTTTGTTTGCTGAAGGGGGCAAAATTTCAAAAACGATTAGGCAATTTCTTTCGAAAAAGTGGAAAGCCTATTCGATTCATAGCTGGAATACCACCAATACAGTTAGTTGTTAGTTATTCTTTGGCAAATCTTAATATGTTTGCATGTTGTATCAAAATCTGAGAAGTAGTCATTCAATGGAGAAACACATCGAGTAATTAGATACGAAGACTCATCGTTGTAACTTCTACAGGGAGGTATCTCTAAGTCAATCAAAAATTAATAATGAAATTGAAATGAAAATGTTTTGAGTATGATTGATCTTTTTTCCCTGAGAATATGAACAATACTGAGAAATTCAAGGAAAAATTCTCCATACTATAATAATTTCAATTAAGTAATCTCCAATTTTCATTCCATTTCGTCAAAATCGGTATATTATATTACATCAAGCATCAGTATATCTCCTTGCAGTCTTTGGAGACAGCTTTTTTTCAGTAGAGACGATTTTCCTGTTCGTTGAAATTAGTGATTAACGGTTAACTTTAGTTTCATTGCTTTTTGACGACAACTTCCTGTAAAACTCTCAACGATAAAACTACGTATCTAAGAATTTGATGTTTTCCTCCATTATGAATGACTTCTTCACCGAATATATCAACTCATTAGATTTTGATATAGGGTGAATTGAAAAAACTAAAATATTTGAATTTACCATTGAATATCTAACACCCTATATTACGTTTCTGGTAAAAATTTATATATTCTTTCAGCTAACCTGGATGGTCTTCTTGATTCGAAAGCCATCCACTTGTTTCGAAAAGAAATGCGCGCCTCATAGACGTTTTTGAGTTCTTGACCCCTTCAGCAAACAATCGCTCACATTGTATATTATATCAACACCTGCAGCTCTCGAAATAAGTACCTACATGAGGAAGATAGTGACTCTTCTTACCTCTGTTCTGACGCTCAGTCTGTCTAAAGTACACAATGTTTTTCTAGATTTCTTGTGGGACATTTTACTCTTGAAAGGTAAGTTGAAAATTTTCGCTTCCATCTTCTCTAATTCGCTATCTGAACTGTTTTCAAACAGGCCAGCTGGTAGATTATTGTAGAGTGGCAGTTCCAATGAAGGTTTGGTTCGTGGTGGTGGAACGGGAGGAATCTGAAAGATATTCGAGCGAAAACTAGTGAGTTCCCTGTATGTATTGAATCAAACAAAAATTAATGGAGTTCGAATGCAGCTAAAGTCTATTCATTTCAGAGCGAAAAGGAGATTATAATCACGCATCGATGAAAATATTAGGAATATGATAATTAATTTAGTTTTTTACAAATTCCCAGATGACAGTGAAGTAGGTATAAGTATGGCGTATATCTCAGGGTCGGTTAGATGAAGCATTTTACGGATCAAATATTTAATTTGTTTATAATTTGATTATATCCATTGGCTAAGAAGCTCTGAATCAACTGGGCAGTCAGAACAGAGTGACTCTAGCAGGGCTAGCAGCACATAAACAAGTTATGAGGGAAGCGGAAGGGCAGATCCTCTAGCCCGAGTAAAGATCTGAATGGCCCAGAACCTTTTGTGGTATTACTATACGAAAGACATGCATCAAATCATGGATGCAAACCAAATCTCAAGAATGGTGGAACAATTTGCCAAGAATGAGACAGGCAAACCATCCTCAATATTCACAGAATATGTACCGAGTTGAAAAGAAATTCAACCAAAATATTAGAGACATTTTTCACAAAAAAAGAGCAGTAGGTAAATATGTGAGAACTTGTCGAGATTGACGTTCCTTATGCTAAGATAGGAAACACGAGGAGTCCATCAAGCATTAAAGCTAGCCTATGGAATGTCATGGAGAAAATAACTCTAAACTATTTCGAGGGCAGACACAATGAATCTGAAAAAGTCGCGACGTGGAGGCAAATAGCCTGAAGGCACATTCCTAATATAAACTGCCCCACATTTGAGGTGAGACAAGCAAAAATTTCTATCATTTTCAAACCGTCATAGCTTTGGATTGGATCAACCAATTTTCAATTTCTTTCAAGATTCTGATAGCTCATTCCATTGAGTGAACGTCAGTTTGTTATTCCACCTTTCCGACAAGAAGACCCACAGGGTGATATCTGAAAATGTGATAATTTTCGAAAAGTTTGGGATCATCCCGTTTCACCGGGATTTTTTTTATGTCTTATTGGGGGCGATAGAATGAAGGAGTTTTCCCGAAATGGTTTTGAATTCAAGAGGATTCATATCGATGTATGGAATTTTTCACATTATATTGCAATTTTCGGCAAGTTTGAGATCGCCCCGTTTGGCAGGGATTTTTATTATGTTTCATTGAGGGCGATAAGATGAAGCATAATGAGTTTTCTCGAAATGCTTTCCGATTCAGGAAGATTCATACAGGAAGTTGTGATATATGAAATTTTTCACAATATATTGCATTCTCATGTTCAACCAATATAAACTCAACTTCAACAGAACTGTAGATTTGCTTATCCTGCTCAACGCTATCACTATACAATGTATTGTACATTTTCAAACATACAGAGTATCATCGAATTTTTTAGACGAACCATGGTTTCCAGATTTCTAGAGGTATGAGATTCGAATTTGGCGGGGGTGTAGAATTCGAGAATTGGTCAATTTTTCAAAATTCCATACTCTGTCATCACGACTCCATCTTTCAATTTTCAAATGGGACATCCTGTATTTTATGCCACATGTGGTCAGGGAGTATCATAAGGAATTCAACAATAATGGGTTTGAGAGAGTTATTTCGAACGATTACGAAGATATTCTTGTTCGAAATTTCCATATGCTCAATAAGACGTGTGACAGACAAAAAGTTTTTTTATTAGGCGATATTATGTTGTCTTCAAACTCCAGTGACAATTCTCGCAAGATGTGGTAGTTCAATATCATTATCATCAACCATTATGAAATTGTCACCAAAAGTTATGGGCAACTGGAACGACAACTTCCCTAACACAATGAATGTCTTATTGATACTGAAGAGTATTTATACTCTCTCTCAAGATAACCAACGTGGGGCAACGATTCATCATGATACCGCCCCATGTCAATTTTATATACCTACTTATCATTTTTTCATTATGAATATTGTGTTAATGATAATTATTAACGGCATTTTTTTCGTAATATTTCAATTTATTTCTACATCCCCTATATTCGAAAATATACAACACATTGTGTAGTAATGGCGTTGAAGATATGCCAATGTTGAATTCTGTTGAAGTTGAGTTTATGGTGGTTGAACATATTAGAATGCAATATGTTGTGAAAAATTCCATACATCCAAACATCCTGAATGAATCCTCTTGAAATCAAAACCATTTCGAGAAAACTCATTGTTCGTCATTTCATCGCCCTCAATAAAACAAAAAAATTCCCGGTGAAACGGGGTGATCCCTAACTTTTCGAAAATTATCACAAGTTATGACGGTTCGAAAATTATAGAAGTTTTTGCTTGTCTCACTTCAAATGTGGAGCAGTTTATTATAGATGATTAGTTAAGATGGTTGATTCATCGTTAAGTTAACAGAGTAAAACCGCCTGATACCACCATGGTTTTTTCGCAAAAAGAAAAGAAAGCTTTGAGTCATATATTCATCACTATTCATCACCATAGGTACATGAGCAGCCGCGTATAAAGTTACATATTCTGGAGATTCTTGCTATATGAAAAACTACCAAGGAACATGAGGAAAAGTTCTGGAATGCTGAAGAAACATTTTGTAGGAAATTAAGATTTTTATTAGCTATCAGGGGGACTATGTCGTTCCTTTGAAATTAATTTATTTTTTGATTTAATTTATTGGTCATAGAAAAATAAGTTTATGCAACAATCATATAATATTTATTAATACACTCGAACACGGTTCACGATACTCGCTTTCGGCTCTTATCTAACTCACCTCATGTTATCGTGTATTAATAGCCATCATTACATGATCGTTGCAGGAAATATTATTAATTTAGTACAGCGATACCAAATTAAAAATATTCAAGATTGTATGTATGGAATATTCAAAATCACCTATGTGACCTCTCTTTCCCAATAAAACCTCTGTATACTGAGGAATAATACGTTTCATGAAATGCCTGTTACTTTCTCATAAATTGATAGATTTTTCACTATGAGGTTATGCACCTACAAATAATCTTGTAATGGTAGGTTACTCTAACTCGTTTGACATTTTCATAAGTGTTGAGAAAATTCAAAGGACCTATACCTACATAAGATTTTACCTGATTTTGTGTTTGCCTTCTCAAAACAGTAGCATGCCCGTTATCCCAGTCAGTGGCGGAACTAGCCGAACTAGAACTATCAGGTCTCATATTATCAGTCTTTCCATCATTCTGTGAATACAGATTCCTAATTCTTGTTTGGTGGGCAAGAGATAAGGCCATTGTTTGAGTCTCTGGCTGTAATTGATGATACACAAAATTGAAAATAAATATATCATGGCTGCCTATATATTCATCAGGGTGTTTCATAATATGTGGTCACAAAAGTCGTAAAAAGCTTCGTTTGCGAGATATTCATAGAATTTCCTTATACCAAAGGAGGGAAGATTTGTATTTCGTGCAAGATAATTTATTCAATATTCGTAGCAGAGCGCTTTCGACTGTTAAGTCATCATCAGTGCGTACCTGTAAGTAAGTAATCTGCCTTCAGCTATTGGAAAGAAATTGAAATTGAAAATTTGAAATTCTGTCATTACTCATTGTGGAATTCCTTCTGCAATAGGAAATAATAATAGAAATACTCGTATAGTTTCTGAAAGAAGGCAAGAACATTGGATTCATGTAATCAAACGGGAGGACTGGTCTGACCTGCTGACAAAATATGATCGTGTGTTTTGTAGACATTTTCAGTCTATCAGAAGTATTAGCTTCTATTGCAGACGTGGCAGAAGGAATTCTGATGAGAAATGACAACATTACACAATAAAAACTAAGTGAGATCACTATTTACCTGAAAAATCTCATTCCATCGTCTCTTCCTGCATTTTTTGTGCATTGTTCAAGAGCACAATGTGATGGAATGCTCGAATTAATGTATAGCACAAAAACGCGGTTCGTATGCCAACATATTGTGAACAACTATTACAATCCTGTGATTCATTTGTGAACAAAAAGCAAAAGAGAGGTTGCGCTTCAATGTTTTACAGAAAAGTGAGGTTGTGTTTCAATGTTTCACCTCCAGGATCGGTCATCGTGCACACGATCTATACAAAAACGTGTATTTTGATATAAGTGGAATAATCACCTGCAGGACAACCGGAGGGCTGGGCGTGAACGCTGCATCAGATTCACCGCCGCCCGGCCTCGCCAACGTCACGTTCTTCCTCAGCTTACTGTCCACGGTCATCTTACCGTCAGCCGGATTGGCTGTTCGACCGTCGGGTTCTCCCCTCCGCCTCACGTACGAAGAAAACGCCCCTCCCAATCTTTTGCTGGGCAAAACGGTCCTGGAGAACGGCGGCGGAATACGCAGGACTGGTGTGGGCGTTGGTTTGGGCGTGGGGCACATGTTGAGTTCGTTATCGGAATGTGAGAAATCGTTTTCGACGGAGGCCAAGGACTCGAGACTGCTCGATGAGTCGATCGAAAGGCTTTTCGGAGCTTCCTGGGTATCTGGAACCATGAATATATTTTCAGTTTCTCAGAATATCCTCAGTTTTTTATATTCAGTGGTAATAATAGTATAAGTTGGTGGGTAATTCAAAATATTAGGGTTATACATCGATATCTTGTTGCATGATTACAAAGAGTGTCAGTTTAACAGTTGGAATAATCCGATCGCGAAGCGAAAGGTTTATTATTCTGTTAAACAGCAACAGAAAATATACTCACCGAATAGAGCAAGCAGCGCTTGTAACGTAAACTGGATGTTCCTTCTATTTGCCACTTTCCCTGTCCTCAAAATCACTTTATCTTGGCCAACATCTATGAGATCGAACCCTAAGGATGCCAAGAGTTCATGACAACCTGGTACTCTCCACAATCTATCAAAAAATATTTCCATGTATCGTTTTGTTATTTCAACTATCATTCGAGTAATCAATTACCGGACGTTCAGCGAGATATCCACATTTTCGGCTTCTGAACTTTTCGATGAGAACTGCGATAAAGCCGACTGGATGACCGCAATAACGTCATCAGCAATATCAGAATTGGAAGTGAGCTTCGATAATGCTTGAATTGAAGTACTAGTTAAACCTGTGTGAGGACAAATACAAAGTTTTTTGTATTGAACATATATATAATACTTGGATAAACTGATGATATTCAACTCTCGAAATATAGCTGCACCAAAAATTATGCATTGAAAAACATTTTCAGAACGGAAATTTCAAAATAAATGTTCCATATAGGTCACAATTACGTGAAAAGTAAGTGAAAATATCATGTTTCAGACTCTTGGACAGATGCCATGAGTGAGCTGTTGTCAGATCTGATATGGGTACGATATTTCACTTGAATTACATTTCTGGTGCTCAGGGCGCTGGTACACTATAAACACTTCAAAATTTGCTAAAATCCCATCGTTATAGGCAGGTACATTCCGACAGTCGAACCAATTCGATTCACTGATTATTACCGAGTAAAGCTTGAAGGCTAGCTGAACATTGAGTCAGTCTCTCGTCAGGATCAGACTGTGGAAAAAACACACTACTGGGTATACCATTTGATGCTGGTTCGAATCTGAATCCAACAGACATCAATAGCTCCTTCCAACCTGTTACTGAGCCAACCTAGAAAAAAATTGATTGCTTGCACAAGCCTCCGGGAAAACATAGGGAAAACAACTCACTTTATTCTCAATAGACTTCTGTGTAGTATACATAGCATTTTTCTGACCTCGATGGATCCTCTGCAAACTTTTCTCGACTAGATGAAGTGTTACTCTCAAAGCATCCCGGCACTTCTCCGGCACTTGTAATAATTCACATAGAGCTTGGCCCATGAGAGCAACTTTGTTGGAAAGACGAACATTCAAACCTACTAGCACGAATCCCGCCCAATTAGCTGGATGCGCAAAGTGTTTCGTATGCTGAACTGTTTGCATCGCTTCCGCCAAGGCTCTGGAAAAGTATTAGTAATATGGATTCAATTCATCTGATGTTGAATGAATGTCGAGGGACATATAAGGTAGCTTCTTACCTAGCTGCCCTGGTGCCTTGCAATAAAGCTGAATAGAATGCTCTTAGAAGTATTTTTGTTGCCATATCTGGTACGGGCCAGAGTGATACGAGCACCGCTTGAGCTCCGGCTGATAATAAGGACCTGACTAGAGCTACCAGTCCGTCGGATGTTGCCCAGCCTTGTTGATCTCTGGTATGTGATGAACTAACCTATAAGTATAAGTGCTGTTAGTTAAACCCTTTTCCAAGCCTAATCTCATGAGATCTTACCACAACCAATCGGGCAGATAGTTTTAGCGATAAGATATCCGCTGCACTCAACAGAAATTCTGATAGAGGTGGTAGCTCGGTAGAAATCGAGACGTCATTGTTTTCTTCGTCGTCTGTCACATCTGTCAAATACAGTCGCTTGGACTGAGTTTGGTCCAAAACCTGAAGAATCGATAATGTGATAAATATTATGGTGTTGTGTTTTAGCTATTCAACATACCTCTGCCGGACTGAGAACTAAAGAAGATAGTTTCCAAGAAACATGAGTTGCGAAATGAACACATTCGGCTTCTTGAATCTGACTGAGGACTTGTTCTTTAGTGGCAGAAGGTCCAACTAGCACCTGAGTCTGTAACAGCTCAGCGACCATTGTTGCTTCTTGTTCAGCTTGTGGTATGTCTTTCCACCCCCAGTGTTCCGTTATGGTGCTAGGTAATTTCGGATTACCTATTATGAGGCTTCTGACCTATTCAAGAACATTTATAAGGTAGTTACATATTCAGCGAATGAAGAATCAACAATTCAAATAACTTACTGTTTGGTCTTGATCTTGTTTTCTAGATTTTCCAGATCTTAGTGAACTCAAATTTGGTACTACAAATAATGAGAATCTTTCACACAAATATTCTGAGTTTTCGTTTGCTGAACGTAAAACAGGAAAAGGTACGAGATATAGATCGCCTTCGAGTACTAGAATCAATTCTCTAAGATTTGAGCCGTCTGTGGTGGGGGATCCTATAATGAGATATTTGATTAGAAACTACGAATCAATTCCAAACCAATTTGTATACCTTTATTTGGAAGGTGCTCTTCAAAAGGCTGTATGAGGAGGGTATATAAGGAATGCAGACAGCTGGGCCCCTTCCAAGGCTGTCTTCTACTAATTCTAGTGGAGCCTTTGGTACTAGCACTTGATCTTGTACTCCCTGTTGAAAAATAGGCTATTATGTAGTAGACATAAGACAGGAAGAGTTAACACATACTGTGCCTATGACAAGGATGGAATATTTTTGTTTTTAGACGGATATTACGATATGATGTATGGATCGGCAATTACAATGTCAAAAAATACCAATTAGACAGAATAAAATAAAAGCCTTCAAATCCAAATTACATATGTAACCACAGTAATTTGAACAGCGAACAACAATGATGGAGAACAAACTAGCAGAGTATCTTCGTATGGAAACGAGAAGTTCAGTTTGATGAATACTTTGTAAGGGTTGTAATAGTATCCATTTCCGATTCAGGGAGCGTGAACAACAGCGAAGTGAAGTTATTACTACTTATGTTGTCAAACTACGGAATCTGGTTGAAAGCTGTAACTTATTCCAGACATCAGAAACGAAACTGAGGAAATCAGTTATTTAGTAGCCATAAGGTTCAAAACGGGATAAGGTGTCGATAGACGGATATTTAACTTCTGGAAAAGGGTTGGAGCTAGGAATATCCACAGAAGCAGCAAATAAATCAGTGGAACAGATGAAATATGTGACGGTCTAGAGGGCTAAATTGGGAAAATCACCGACACAACAACTGAGCCAATCATCAAAAGGTGCTTGAGAGACCTGCTTGCTGGAAAATCTGAAAAAAAAATTGGTTATTGAGAGGACACAGGCCATGTATAATTAGCGGAATGTAAGAAATCGCTCAGAAGGGAAAGTAGAAAACAAAGAAAAACAGCGAACATGTGAAGAAGAAGAAGATTATTTTTACTGAATCAATTGTCTACAGGACAGGTCTCACCGATATTTCGACACAGGTACAGGACTCCAAATGAGTCACCCCACGTCATTGTGGTAATACCAAACAAATCAATAAGTGGTAGGGATTACAGGTGTATAGTGAACCAAGCTGTTCTACAGCCGATGTATCGTCCTCCCACATTAGCGAAGGTCAGGATGTGCTTCATAGGCAGAAGATTCCTCAGCAAACTGATCTGGCACAGTTTCGAGTTGGATGACGAGACAGCGGAAGCGGTTACCTCAGTATTTGGGCTCGAGATTGAATAAAGACGGTTGACATCCTAGGCAGGAAAAAATGCGTCCCATCTATGAAGGGACAAAGGCAAAAACAAAGCATCACTTTCAGAACTCATTGGAGTTATATGATTATTTTTTAAAGAACAGAGCAGTGGTGTTGAAGGTATTGTACGAGCACACCAAGGACATGTTGACGTCTCAAGCAAATGTGGTCAACTACATGATCCCAAATTTTCCCTGGTACTCTTCTGCGACGGAAAACCAACCTTTTACTTCTTAAATGCCTATCATTCGTTCTCGTAATAATTTTGGTCGAATCCTTGCGTTCTCTACCCTAACATAATCATCACGTAACAGCCAGCAAGCTCATATTTTAGGTGCTACCTCAAGACGTGAGCTTTTTTGTTGAAATTGATTATATTAATTCAAATGCAATGCTCTTCAACTCGTTTCCTATTTTCAATTCACAGGCGATAAATCAATAATGAATCAGAAATTGATGTGTACTGGTGAGTATAACATATTGTGAAACTTTGGATTTGAACAAACATTGGAATTGGCTGTACCATGGCTTTCAGAAAGTGTAATCATTTCTATATACTCCGTGTACCATATGAAATCTCATACTCGTTGTCATGTGAGTAGGAATAATGTACCGGCCTATATAAATAGCTATATGTATAAACTCTCGAATGAACTTATGCTCAGAGTGATAGATAAACATATCGAATTAGAGGTAGGTACTTACCCTGCAAAGATGCTACTGATCCTCCGACACTTCCCAATGAGAAAAGCGAGCTGAGTGAATAGTTGCTCGAGTTCATTAAATGGTGGCGGTTTATCATTCTGCTGAACCCTGTCCTTTCCGAAAGGGTATCGTCGGGATACTGATCCTCCACAATAGTCGAGCATGGTGAGAGTTCTACACCGAGACTGTCTCTCACCGATGTCACTAACGATTCTAGCATACCCGATCCAGATGATGTGATATCGATATTATCGGTGTTCTTGCTCTCGTTGGGTTCTACCAGTGATACGGAATGGAATTTCACTATTCCTGGAATCATTCATTAGCATTGAATGAAAGTTTGGATCACTTTTTTTATTGTAATTATGTGAGCGCAATTAATATTTTTTCTATTCTTATCTAATATGGATATGGTTTCCATGATTCATTTGCGAACACCTATTATGAGAAAACAGAGATCGCTGTGCTGTTACTAAGCAAATTTATTTTTTCGAGTCGCGATCAGAAATCTTTCAGATATTGATTTCTGAAGTTATTCGATACGTATGACTGAAGGGTTTTGTAACTGGAAACTAGATATCTTGGAGTATTACTAGACAATAAACTCAAGTTCCAGATACATCTAATAACCGTGAAGGAGAAAGCAATTGAAAGAGCCAAACATTTTCGTGGTTTGACTTACAAGACACGTATAAGACAATGACAGCGACATCAATATACAAAGCCGTATGTCGTCCTCTAATGGAATACAGCTTCATCTTGTTCAGCGCATGCAGAATAACTACCCTGAAGCACATTGAAGTTGCAGAAAGAAGTTGTTTAGGAGTCATTACTAAAATACGACATCCAAATGATCCCTTACATAACCCTTCCAATACCCTACTATACAATTCAACTAAAGTAGAACCCATCCTCCAACGACTCCACAGACTCAATATATTATCTCACAGTGATAAGTCCACAAGTTATTGGGCTACCGGAAAACTTCATAAGAAAAAGAACATTTTTAGAAATGACTATTCTTCTGGAAACCCGCAGGGGCCCCTAATCAGGACCTTATCATTTTTTGTTTTTAAATTATGCATATTTTCATATACATTATATATTTCCTCCTAATTCAGTACTGGGCGACTATGAATGTTGAACTCAGCTGTGATTCTACAATATAAGAATAAGAGACGAAGAAGGCCGCTATCTACTATAGACTCGATCACAGTCGACGGTTTCAAACGCTCACAGGCTGAACTAAATATACTTTACCGTGAAAGTTTGAGTCGACATACGCGTATCAAGGATTTTTGGTTGTTTTAATTTTGTTGCTCTATTGGAGTTACTTTCATCCTACCAATACTTTGGATACAAAATGGTACCTACTCATTGATTATTTTATCAGATGGAGGATAGGGTATTTTTTCATCTGTAACTCTTAATAAACTGAATAACTAGAATTTCCATGGAAGTCACTGCCTTATACGAATGGAGGTAAAAGCGATGAACAGATAGCTTCAGTCAGATTGCAGACAAGCGGAGGTACCGGGTGGTTGCCATAGCTCGTCGTCGTTTGCAAGTACTATTTCTCATATACAATAGCAATTTGAACGACTTGACCTTAAAACCTTGAAAATTTTGCCTGCGGCGCAGTTTTCTCCAGATACGAAACTCCGACACGCCACTGCAAAGAATATATTTTTTTTGTTCAATCCGATTATCAACTGGTGTCAGCCCTAGATGTGGAGCAATTTCTCAGTGAACTATAGAACCCCATCAACCCTCGTTGCACCGGGGCTCGGACTTCTCTCGCTCCGTCTTCAAATATTATTTTTTTATTGGTACACTACTATGCTTATTTAAAGAACGCCTCAGCGTGTTGAAATCCAAATTTCAAAAACGCACGTTTTTCAATAAAATAACCACGGCAACACACGGCATAAACATAAACATCAACGAACAGGAAAAGGTGGAGTCTATGAAAATTTCAACACTTTGATTATGAATCTAACAGGAGTACCATATGAAACGTCAAATAAAATATCACTAACAAATGTTCACCTACGCAATTGAAAATCATTATTAGTTGATACTTCAATATTTATGATCTCAAAGTGTACCAATGAAAATGATAGCGTGAAGTATTCGTGCATAAGTATCTTCCAAATACTGCTTGCTCCATTTCGAGAACTTCGGCTGGGCCGTCGTGCTCGAAAAGTTTTGTCAAAGATAAAATGAAAGTTATGAGTATCTATCTTAAAGGTATTACTAGAGAAACAATCATCATAGAATTTTTTCTAATGTGAATATAAGACGTCTGGAAATATAATTATATTAGCAAAATTACATCAAGTATATGGACCCATGGAAACAAATTGAAGTATTCTACATTCAAATCCAAATAACGCATGTGAGTTCAAAATTTTGGTAATAAAATTGAGAGCGAATTCTGATCATTGAATGATATATGGTATTATTTGATCATAACACTTCTAATCTTCTCCTGAAGTTGCCAAAATAGTTGACGAAACACGTTAAAGGCGTTTAGAAATTCGTTGTGGTTAGCGGTAAAACAGTGTAGTGTTCAAATTTCAAGTTAGGTGCTTCTCATGAGACTTTGAGATTACTCAATAATCCCAATAGATATATTTCTGAAAACTTTGTTAGTCACCACCCAGTCATCATAAAAAACGATCAATATACTCCCATCTTGTATCTCAAAGACGAAGAAATAAGTTTGAACCCACAATAAATCACCTCCTGAATTTGTTCGCACCCATGCTCACCATGGGTATCTTTTTAACGGTGAGAGATACGAGGTCGGTTAAATGACACCAAATGTGGAGTTTGTCAAGGCCAACTATAATGTGAAAAAATATTTTGATAAAATCTATTCGTTAATGTTTTATACGCAAAAAACAGATTTTGATCATTTTTATGTCTCCTCCGTAACTTCTTTATTTATGAAAATTATACCAACTCTTCTAGAATTTGAGAAATCAGCACCAACTTTAGTTTTTCAAATGAAGGTCATAGCTCACTATGACTTAGTTACAAATAACTTCTTTTTCTCTCACAGATGATATGTCGCAGTAATAGTTTTGTGTTGATTACAACGGAGTTATCGTCATTTATACAGAAACAAAGAAATTATTTGGCAGCCGCCATCTTGAATTTACGAATTTTGACGAAAAAATCATGATCTTTGACCTCAAAAACCCCTACTTACCAATTTTGAATGGAATCGGACCAAATCTTGTCCGCCATCTTGGAGCGGCCATTTTTTTTAATTCCAAAAAAAATTCCATAGCTCCGATTAACTTGAAATTTGGCAGGTGTTCATAATTTCAGTGACAAAACATTATAGAATTTTTGTTGAAATAAAAAATAAATGGCTGCTCAAAGATGGCGGACAAGATTTGGTCCGATTCCATTCAAAATTGGTAAGTGGGGGTTTTTGAGGTCGGAGATCATGATTTTTTTATTAAAATTTATAAATTCAAGATGTCGGCTTCCAAACAATTTTTTGTTTTGGAATAAATGACGATAACTCCGTTGTTATCAACACAAAACTATTACTGCGACATATCGTCTGTAAGAGAAAAAAAAATATCTGTAACTAAGTCATAGTGAGCTATGACCTTCATTTGGAAAACTAAAGTTGGTGCTGATATCTCAAATTCTAGAAGAGTTGGTATAAATTTCATATTTCTTTCGAAATCACTTTGAAAAACTGCCATGAGAATGTGAATTTCCTATTTGAATATTTTTCATAAATGAAGAAGTTACGGAGGAGACATGAAAATGACCAAAATCTGTTTTTTGCTTATAAAACAAAAACGAATTGATTTTATCAAAATATTTTTTCACATTATAGTTGGCCTTGACAAACTCCACATTTGGTGTCATTTAACCGACCTCGTATCACTCACCGTTAAAAAGATACCCATGGTGAGCATGGTAAGTGGGACACTCTGTATATAATTTAAATGGGTGGAATTAATCCACAAAGATTTGGTAAATTTTGCAGGATTGAAAATAGGAATAAAAAGATCTTACCTTTCGTAGGAATTAACAACCAAGCATACAGAAATCCTGCAGCTATACTATAATACAGAACAGATGCCCTTTGTCTATTCACAATTTCTTTCAAATTATCCATTGTAGTCATACTAAATTCTTCTAATTTCAAATTTTTCGTTTTGGCTTTCACTTCTGGAAAACCTTGCCGCTCTAATAAAAGATCAACGAAAGCTCGGTTTCTGCTTCTCTCAGCTATCAGGAGTGCTTCATCAGTTCTATTCAATGCTAAAAATAAATAAAGTGTAATTTTCCAGGTACCTTCACTCAATCGAAAGTTTAACTTACAAACAAGAACCATTTGCAAGACTTGATAACTCGAAGATTGAAGTTCGAATAAAGATAATTTATAGTTTTGGATATTCTTAGTTTCTCTTCTGATACTCTCGAGAAGATGAGTGGCCGCTTCAAGTTGACATTGTGCTCCTTCTAGATCACCATTCGCCCAAAGAGCCAAGCCAAGGCGGTTTCGTATTTTAGCCTGAAAATATATACCGAAACGTCACATTTGCGTTGATAATCTCTTGAAATAAGTAGTAGTAGTAGTAGAAGTACACTATATTTGCGATAGAAAATGAGGGTACGCCACCTATCGGAGTTCTTGAAAACTGTCAAAGCGGGATGTTCACTTTGTTTTCATTGGTTCACATTTGTTTTTGTTTTGGGCTTATTGGTCATAACATCAAAACAAACCGCTCAGAAGTGTTCAAGTTGTTGCCGTCAGGTGGAGCGACGTTTTATTTTCTATCGCGAATAATAGCTACAGGGTATGATACATCATTATAGTGAAAATATTCGGAAATTGCGAAAAAAATTCTATATTCTATATATTCTATAATCAATTTTTTCCAAAGATCCGTTTTCGAGAAACAGGGTCAACGTCATTTATTCTCAGCGATCTATCGTGGTAACTCTTAGAATGTATTTTATTTGAATTAAATGAAATGTTTCGTATTTTAGGTGTTCCTAAGTCTGTAAATTATTGTTTATTTTCTGAATGTTTTAGACAAATATACATGGAGACCCGCAATTGAAGTGGGACATCTAAAATTCTGGCTCAAATTCGAAAGTCCAAAGAAAATTAATCGATTCAAATTCGGTTCTCAGATTAGAAAGCTCATTTTATTGTCTTGAGTAACATGTATTTGAAAAACGAAAAAAGATTGAATTAATATTTCACATGGCGATGAATAGAATACTGTAAACTTTTGTATTGATTTTAGAGTGATCCCATTCCGTTCAAGAATTATTAATTGTTTTGCTCATAATGTATTATGCAGGGATCGATGTTATACCTCTCGAAATTGTTTTTCATTTCCATCAAATAATTTTACTGTCTCATGAATATCAATCTTCCAAATGACAAGATTATTTTCACCACACTGTATAAGTTTTAGTAGAATTCTTAATCTCACTCAAAAAATCATCATTTATACTAGCTCTGGTGGAAATTTGAAAGATTCAAGATCGCTAATTTCGAAGATAGCATTTTTAACTAGTTCAAACTCAAAATTGTTCACAAAAATCATGATAATTTGAATATGCCTGAATATTACTATAGGGACATATTTCAAGATTTTTTGTTCAATGTTCAAAATATTACGCAACTTCCAAAAATGTTATAAAATACACGGCCCTGCCAATATTTCACATCGATTGATTTTACAGAGTTAATCAAATGTATGGAACCATCCATATATCTCAGTAACCAGTCGATAGATCTTTCTAAATTTTAATACATGGTGAATTGGAAATGTGGCGGTTCGAAAAATTATATCGCCAATGTTGTCACGTTTTCAGTTTTTTCCGAAATTATTATCAACTTCCGTATTTTAAATAAAACACCCTATATTTTTTTAATCATTTGATAGATAAATATTCAACGAATTCACTGATATACTATTTTATAATTTTATTCACAATATTTACGATGATATCTGAAAAAAACTTCTGTAATCTTCTGTAGTAGTCCATACTCAAAGTGGAGTGGAATGATCAATAGAGAAAAACCCAAAGTCGTCTCCACAATTTTTAATGTATAATAAGGCAGTCAATCCTGCTTCATCAAGGTTGAAAGTTGATACATGTTTCGGCCATTCAAACTTTGGGTTTTTCTCTATTAATAATGTTATACTCTCGGAATGAGACCGTATTGAGATATTGATGATGATTGGATTCGGAGATAGAAGAAGAACTCACAAAGAAGTTTCAGATCTCTTCAATACGAGTCACCTAGATCAAGAACCAATATCACGAAGTACAGTATCCAAAACTTTGAAACGATACGAGCATACTGGGAATGTGAAGAATATTAGAAAAACAGGACGTCCGAAAACAGCAACTACGCCTGAAAAAGCATTAGATGTTGTAGTTTCATCCTTAGATCAACCACATACATATACAACCCAATTGAGCTTAGATCATGAAATAGAGGTCAAATGTCAGTGATACGAATTTAAAAAAAGGAGAACATGAAGCCATATAAGAAGCATTTCATCCATTTGTTTTCCGACGAAACCACTTTCTGTCTATCTCGATCGATGGATACGCAAAACTGTCGATACTGAAAAGACCAAACAGTCTCGAGAATTTGGAAATTGTCATCCGAAGAGTGATGGAGGATATACCACGAGAACACATCAGAAACAGTGTAGATGCAGTGTATAAACTTCTAGCTCATTATCAGGAGGTCAATAGACAAGAATTTGGACATCTACTTGAATGAGAAGTCTCTTTTCTTGTTCTTGTTATGTTTTAGTTATTATCAAGGGGTACTATGACCGTATTTTCAGGTATTTTTGAAAATATTGTAAATAAAACTATCAAATTATATATCAGTATACTCGTTGAAAAATTCTCTATCAAATTATATAAAAATATATAGAGTGTTCTATTTGAAATAAGAAAGTTGATAATGATTCCGAAAAAACTGAAAACGTGGCAACATTGGCGATATAATTTTGCGAACCGCCACATTTCCAATTCACCAAAATTCAGAAATATAGAACGACAGGTTACTGAGATATATGGATGGTTCCATACATTTGATTAACTTTGTATGTATAGACTTCAATGAATGGGAACACCGAAAAGGTTTAACGAACGGCGTTACGTGATGAAACCAAGGCCACAAAGAAAATTTAATTACATCTAAATACTTCACCTCTTCATCTCTACGCCCTACTGCTTCTGCTATGCGTAGTCCCTGAGTCAAATAGTTTATAGCCTGATTGCGATTGCCAAGGAGTTGGTGGACTCTCCCTAGAGCACTATAGGCAACAGTTTTTGCGAGTTGGTCGTTCACACTTGAGGCTATCGATAAATGACGTTCTTGATACTGTACGGCTTGATCGAAATTTCCTAGAGCCTCGTACACAGCACCTGACGAAAAAATTAACATTAGAGTCACTGATGGATGGAATTAGTTAATTAAGAGTTCGGACACAGCTGAACTTCTGTCCTTTTCTATTTTCTATATTACGTGAATAAAAGAATGAGACATATATTCTGCTCTTTGTCTTTTCAATGTCCCTAGATGAAAGATAGAAATAGGGTATAAATACCCACTTCCATTAATATAGCGATACACTTTTCGCAGAACAATAGATGATATAAAAATGAAAAGAATTCACACATATGGATATACTTATAGCTAGTTCCTTATTATATGTAAAACTGTACCCGAGTGATAAAATTTGAAACATTAAGATTGTTTTGATTTTCCACCTCTTGCTGCCTTCACTTTTCACTGATATTTTTTCAATTTGCTCGGTATTTAAAACGACATTCGATAATATTATATCACGTTGCAATTCACTTGATTTCCTCAGATTTGTTCTCAAATGTTCAATTTCATTACGTAGTTTTGCAATCAATTCCTCTTTCTCTATGATAATTTTGTTTTGCATTTCATGTGATGATAATATTAGAATTTTTTTCCAATAGTCTGTTTTGTAAATCAATGGAAAAGCAGATTCTCCCTGACGGATCTTATAAATCTTGTGTTCGAAAATGGGCCTGAAACATATAGTTTAATTCCAAACCGCTCACCATCAACCTTCAAATTAATTTTCCATCCAGGTCGTTTCATATACATTCCATCCATAAGGGAATGATTTTTTTTCCTTTGGAGAATCAAGAAAATTAAATCGCCATTCCCTTCAGAATTTCCGCAATTCATTACACAAAAGGACATTTTCATTTATGCTTTTTTCTCAATAGTTCATGGCATTATATTTTATTTCTGACGTTCATACAATTATTTATCAAATTCAAACAGTTTTGAATGAAAAAGTGCGGTACGACTATGATGCAGTTGTCACAATTGAAGGTGTGTAACTTAATAAATCTGAACATTCAAAAACACTAACAGTTGTCATTTCTGTGTCCGAACACTTATCGTGACCCCATCCAGTGACTCTAATAAACATGACTGCTGATCTAAATGAAATCATACCTAGATTCCCGCAGGCTCTGCATTGCAATGCATTGAAACCTAGTTGTTCTGTGATCTCCAAATCGTTTTGATGGTATCTCAGTGCAGTTGAAAATTCTCCCATCTGATGACAAACGGTTCCCAGACCGCATATGGCATCGGATTCCATGATTTTATCATCTGAAATTATGCGAAAAAGAAGTTAATCATAGATCAGACATCTGGAAAAATCTTCATGGTCTCAGATAAGCAACGAGACCACTGTGTAACTATAAGCACAAGAGATCGAACGCATGTATCAGCCTAAGCAACAATAAACTTTGTATACTAACGGGAGGGCAACATGGTATTGCCGGTTGAAAGGACATCTTAGGAAGCTCGGCTAGAGGAGAAAGATGAATGTAGGTTGTTTGGGGAGGAGGAGGAGGAGGAGTGGGTCACACCATACAGAACCCAAGGATAAGAAACCTAGGAGCAATGGAGGAGGAGGAGGAGCTACTTCACCTAAAACCACCTCATATCTTGAAATATCTGAGATATAGGACTAAAGAAATGGGCCTTTCCAGTCATATCTGGAAAAGATATATCTTGAAATATATAGCTCTGGAATACCTTATAACAATTTTTTGAAATTTTTTTCCATCAATTTATCGTATGAAAAATTAATGAAGACCCCAAAATGTACGAGCGAATTCAAATGATCAGACATGGCCGCGAATCGTGTTCTGTCACAGCCGTCTTCAATATCTGAAGACGGCTGTGGTTCTGTCAATGCGCGAGCAAATTGGATTGGTTATTCTCTGACCGGTGCCAATAAAATGCACGATAGACTTGACAATGTTGCCAATTTGAACTAAAAAGCTATGATCAGTCGGATATTCATTCCTCGATTTATTTCATTTTAGCAAATGATACAGATGCTGTAAGATAACTCAACTTACCTGAAAATTCGTGGTATTAAATTTGCATTGATTGAATATTGATGATTAGTTAGTTGATTTCTGTTGAAGAAGTATGCAAAATTGTAAAAGAAATTTCTTTTTGTATTGAATTACAGTGCAGATATTCGTGTCATTCAGTTTAAAATCCTTTTAAGTGAAATACTTTCAAGTTTTGGTACTCACCAATTATGTACCTACCTATACCTATCTACCATAGGGCATGAAGGAACAAATTCTGAATCAATCAATACTAAATTGCTTACTTGGTTCTGTTCCTATTGATTTCAGCACAGCACAAGCCTTCTTGTCAATAATATTGAGATATAAGAACAGTTAACTTATGCAGGGAATGAGGTATTTTCAACTTGACAACATTGTTTTAGCGCCAGTTGCTTCTAAGTGGTTCAATGGTTGCTTCATCTCTTTCTCTTGTAGACATATTTTTTGGTTTTTGATTCGATTTGCTTTGTGTTTGAATGAATTGATTGATTGAATGGTATTTTTATGAAAACTTGGTTTATTGAAAACAAATTATTTCTCTCTCAACAACATTTTTCCATGACAACTAACTTCATATCAGAATAATACATAGAGTGATGAACTTCGATAATCCATGATAATAAATTCTGTACATTCCCCCCGCCTTGAAAGGACTAGGGCTTTCAAATGCAATTCACTTTCAAATTCTTTATAAAAATCACTGAGCTTCAATGGGTAGAACACAAATCTTGGAGTAAGACCGCTTCACTACTCCAGACGACGTCTTGATCGAGGCTACTCTGGCAACACCATCTGGTCCAGGATGAATATCGATAATTCTACCGATGGGCCATTGAATTGATTGACAATTATCTTGTTTGATGAGTACCATATCACCGACTTTCAATTTACATTGATTAATCTTCCATTTCTGTTTCTGCTGCAGTTCAGAGACATATTCTTTTTCCCATCTTGACCAAAAATGCTGCTGAATTTGTTGAATCCTCTGGAATCTTGATAATCGATTCTCCGGGATATGGGTTAAAGATGGGTCAGGTAATGAAGTGAGTTTTCGGCCGATTAGGAAATGGGATGGAGTTAAGGGTTCAAGGTCAGATGGATCGGAAGATAAAGGGGTTAGAGGACGGGAGTTTAGTATTGCTTCAATTTGTGTCAAAACAGTATAAAATTCTTCGTATGTCAACAATGCATTTGACATCACTCTTTTCAGGTGATATTTGGAAGATTTTACACCAGCTTCCCATAGTCCCCCGAAATTTGGACTGTATGCTGGTAAAAATAACCAGTTTACACCATCGTTAGCAACATGTTCAGATATAGTTTGGTTGGAGTCTAACAGAAATGATCCCAATTCGATGAGTTCTGAATTTGCACCAACCATGGTTGTTCCGTTATCTGAATGAATTGTTTGTGGTTTACCTCTTTTGGATACAAATTGTCTGAACATATCCAAAAACGCTTCAGATGACATTTGAGTTACAGGTTCTAAATGAATGGCTTTTGTAACGAAACATATGAATAAACTAACCCAACATTTAATTGATTTTGAACCTCTTCCATGTTTTTCTTTGATATTGAAGGGCCCGGCGTAATCCACACCTGTGAAATTAAACGGAGGTGCAATTTTTACTCGATCTTTTGGTAATACTCCCATCACTGGGTTGGGTTGAGATGGATTGTAGCGAAAACATCTCACACATGAACGTACTGTTTTCCTTGCTAAACATCTTCCACCCAGTGGCCAGTAATATTCTCGAATTGAAGAAAGAAGTAGTTGAGGTCCTGCATGGAAAAGTCTCAAATGTTCATAAGCAAACAACAGTTTGGTGAAATGATGTTTAGCCGACAATAAAATTGGGTGTCTTTTTTCATAGGGATATTTAGACATTTGCAGTCTCCCTCCTACTCTCAGAATACCATCATGATCTGAAAATGGACTTAAACTTGCAATAGTTCCTTTCAATTGATTATGCTTATAATTTTTCAGATGAATTATGATATCTGAAAAATGCTCTTCTTGAACAATTATTACTAGAGACAAAATAGCAAGATCACATTCATTCACTGTTAAAACTCCACTCTTCCGCTTTTCAGGAAAACGACAGTTGTAGATGAATCTTAAAATATATGCCGTTACACGTTTCAATTTGCTGAAATTAGAAAATTTATCAATTGGGAATATTTCATTTCCTGATGTGTTGGTCATACACAAATTGCCAAGTTTTTTGAGTTCCGGTATATCTTGATCTTGTGGGCATGTATTGGGCCACTGATATTGTTCCTTTGAAAGCCAGTTTGGGCCAACCCACCACAGTGAGCATTCATCTAGTAAATCTGGTTGAATACCTCTAGACAAAACATCTGCGGGATTATCTTCAGATACAACATGTCGCCAATAATCTGACTTTGTGAGGCTTTGAATTTGTGTAACCCTATTTGCAACAAACTGTTGAAGATAACACGGTTCTTTGTTTATCCAATGTAAAACTACTGCAGAATCTGTCCAGAAAAATACCGAATCAAAATGATAATTCATAGAATTGATGACCTTTGAATAAAGTTTGGATAAAATTAAGGCAGCACAAAGTTCCAAACGTGGAATAGTCAATTGTTTTATGGGAGCTACCTTTGATTTAGCACACAATAAGGAAATATGAATTTGTTCTGAAGATGTGATACTTCTGACATAAATACAAGCACCATAAGCAACAGAAGATGCATCTGAGAATCCATGAAGTTCCACGCGACTAGCATTCTCATGAATGACATGTCTTGGAATTTTTAGATCATTAATTGAGTTTAGTTTATTTTTGAAATATCTCCATTTTGTATCCAGAGATAATGGAATACTTTCGTCCCAAGCAATTTTATGTAACCATAGTTCTTGTAATAAGATTTTTGTTAATATAATACAGGGACTCACTAGACCTAAAGGATCGAAAATCTGAGATATTTCTGAAAGAATAGTTCTTTTTGTTACTACTTTGGAATCAGTGGAAACATCAATATTATATTTCAAAATGTCATATTGACTGTGCCAATAAAGACCAAGTGTTTTTGACGTTTCCTTTTCGCCTAATTTAAGGACGTGAAATGAAGATTCACTCATTTCTAATTCATGCAAAACTTCTTGTTTATTTGAAGACCACTTTCGGAGAACTAATGAAGCACCTTTTAAAATGGAATATATTTCCTTTGCCAGTTGAACTGCTTGACTTGTAGTTTCTGCACCAGTTAGCAAGTCATCCATATAAAAATCCTTCAGGATGACATTGGATGTTTTTGGATGATTGACACTATGGTCTATTGCTAATTGTTTCAAGCATCTTACTGCAAGAAATGGAGCAGCTGTTGTTCCGTATGTAACGGTATTTAATTTATATGTCTCAATTTGCTCATTTCGATTTGATCTCCAAACAATTTGTTGCAGAGATCTTTGACTAGGATGAATCAATATTTGGCGATACATTTTTACCACGTCTGAACAAATTACCACATTATGTTTCCTGAATCTCAAGATGATTGAGAAAAGATCATCCTGTATGGTGGGACCTATCATTTGAAGATCATTTAATGACCATCCAGAAGTTGTTGGTGATGAACCGTTGAATACAACTCTAAGTTTCGTGGTTATTTTCATTTCATTAAGAATCCCATGATGAGGAAGATAATATGAAACTGGATCATTTGTTGATGACAAATCAACCTTTGACATATGTCCTAATTTTATATATTCATTCATAAAATCTTTGTACATTTGACATAACTTTGGGTTCTTGTTTAATTTGTTCTCTAATGAGAAGAACTGTTTAATTGCCTTTTGCTTAGAATCACCAAGATAGGATGGAGATTGTTTAAGAGGATATTTCACTATGAATTGACCACTTTCTGAACGACTGGTAGTAGATTGAAACAAGGTTTCACATTCTCGTTCTTCAGGTGTTAACATTTGTTCAGCCACTGATGAGCACTCCTCAAGTTCCCAGAATTTTTTCAATTGATTTTGCACATCTAAATTAATATCATTGAGATTCAGGAAACATGACGGATTAGTGAAACCTACAGATCTCAAAGGGCCTGAAATTACCCATCCCAAAACTGTTTTTTGTAAAATGGGCTGGTGTTCACCTAAAGTTATCTGACCTACACATAAAAGGTGATAAAATATTTCTGCACCAATTAGCATATCAATTGTACCTGGAGTATTGAATGTTGGATCTGCTAATCTGATATTTCCTGGGATTTTAATCGGTGACCTAGCTGATTGGCGTGGAATATTTGAACTAATTTGAGGAATAACTAAGCATGAAATGTTAGTTCTAAAATTGTTGTGACAGGAATGAATGGTAAAGACAGCTCTATGTTTGATAACTGAAGATATTTGACCAATACCTATTACTGACGTATCGAAATTTGTTTTTTCTAACTGTAACCTTTCGCATAATTCTTGAGTGATCATGTTTGATTGACTTGCCGAATCCAGTAAGGCTCTGCAAGTATGTGTATTATTGAACGAATCAGTAATCTGAACTAATGCTGTGGAAAGAAATACAGTATCAATTTCATCGACATTCTGATTCGACATGTTTATTGATTGAGGTTCTGATACAGTAACACTTACAATTGAGGAAGAAGGTTGATTTTTTGATTCTTCATTGGTTGATACCTGATTGATAAATTGGTTTTGATTTTCGTTGTTTTGCCATTCTATATGCAATAATGTGTTATGCTTTGAACCACATTTCTTACATCCAACAGTCATCAAACAGTTGTTTGAAGAATGATTTGATTTTAAACAATTCTTGCATAATCTCAACTGATCAGCGTGTTCAATTCTGTTTCGAACTGATAGATTCAAGAACTTGGGACAATTGAAAATTGAATGATTTTCTTGACACAGTTTACATCTCATTCGAAATGTTGATGTAGTGAATGTATTTGATTGATTGGATTTGAATTTTTGAAATGATCCTCTTGTATTATAGTTTTGAGGCATTTTGTTTGAATTAAGAGTTTGCAGTAAGTTTGATTTACTTCTCAAGAATGATTTGAATTCATCCAACGAAGGAAGGTCAGTTTTCACCTTGTATTCCTCCCATTCGCGAGATGTGACATCATCAAGTTTTTGACTCATACTGTATATAATTATTGGATCCCAGTTAGTTGTTTCGACTCCTAGAGACTGGAGAGCTTGCAAATGTTTTGAGATTACATCAACTAACCTTTGAATATCATTAGCTGATTCTTGAATGATTTTTGGAAAATTGAAAATTGATTTCAAATGATTGTTTGATAGTAAACGAGTGTTGTTGTATCTTTCATGGAGTAATTTCCAAGCATTATTGTAATTAGCAGCAGTAAATTCCAAAGATACAATAACTTGCTTGGCACTCCCTTCCAGAGAAGATCGTAAATAATGATATTTATGAATATCAGTCAATGTTGGGTTATTGTGGATCAGTGATTCATATGTATCACGGAATTCTAACCAGTATTCTAAATTTCCATTGAATTTGTTAAGCTGAATTTGAGGCAAACGAATACCAGTTAGTGCAAATTCTGAACTAGTCGAAGTATCGCTCTGTGTTTTTTGAGATTTATTTTCAGATTCTGACATAATGTCATTGTATTCCAAAATGATTTTCTTGGCTTGTGCTATCAACGTGAAATATAATGATTCAAATTGCTTTCTGTCTTCGATTAATTCATGTGACATATCCATGACACCTTCCAAAGAATTTTGACAAATTTCAAAATCCTCGAAGAGATTTTCAGTTCTGTTGAGTCTATCCTTCAATTGAATTATTATGGCCTTATCAAGATTATTAAAACCTATTTCAATGATAGTGTTATTCATATCTTCCAAATAATCACCAAAAAGACGCAGTCTAGCATTGATTGACTCTCTTTGTCTGAGTAAAGGTGTGATTTCATCATTATTTTGCTGTCCTCTTTTTGGCATGATAATATTTGAATATCAAACAGATTGAAACAATACTGGGAATAGGGATGGATTGGGAAAGAAAGGAAATAGACGGACTCACTCTGCTCTTCACTGCTTGGCTCGTGACGAACAGCTTTTCTTTCACTTAGGACTTTAATTAAACAGGTACTTGAATATCCGAGCGACGAAGGACCATTATTTTTGGTTTTTGATTCGATTTGCTTTGTGTTTGAATGAATTGATTATTGAATGGTATTTTTATGAAAACTTGGTTAATTGAAAACAAATCATTTCTCTCTCAACAACATTTTTCCATGACAACTAACTTTATATCAGAATAATACATAGAGTGATGAACTTCGATAATCCATGATAATAAATTCTGTACACATATAGTTGCCAGATTAGCAATTAAATTTTCCGGGAATGGGTGCTTGAGATAATGTTCAATTTATTGATCATAACTATAAGTCAACGAAACATAACTAAAACCCAACTATAAGTATATAAAAAGTTCATTACTGTTAGATGCCTGCATTACATTTTATCTCAGCTAATCTTGATACCAATGGAATACTTTGAAGTTCAGAGTGATAAGCAGTGAATTACACCTAATAAAAAATCACTATGTAAATTGCATTCATTGCACCATCTTGCACATAGGATCAATTCAAGGATTGTATAGAGATCTGGCAACAGCGGAGTGATTCCCAGCCGTCAGAATTCCAACCAATCAAATTGCAAGAAGACATAGCATTATAGCGGGATAGGGTCAAATTGTACGATATTACGTTGAACAACCTCTTCGTCTAGAATACGAAAAAGTAAGTAGCTTAATTTCGAGTTATAACTCGAAATTAGTGCTAATTTCGTGTTACAATTCGAAATTAGCTTAATTTCGAGTTATTACTCGAAATTAGTATTAATTTCGTGTTACAACTCGAAATTAAGCTTTCTTTGAGTTGTAACACGAAAAGGGCCTCTGTTTAATAAACTCTTCAAATCCGAGCTACGTCATAGTTATTTCTTCTCTCATATCATGATCAAGGCTAAACAGAAAACAATTTCTATTTGTTGTAGCCCCGATGAGAAATAAAATGAAATTATTTCTTCCATTGTTTACTACACTATTAGGTACTATACCGAGATTTATACGACTACTTCTTGTGACAATCTGACTCATTCAGAGCTTGGTTTCGTACTACAACTCAAGAAAAGCTTAATTTCGAGTTATAACTCGAAATTAAGCTAATTTCGAGTTGTAACCCGAAATTGAGCTAATTTCGAGTTGTACCTCGAAATTAAGAAAAAAATATCTCATGTCCGTTCTACGCTTTCGTAAAAGTATGACTGAAATACAGAATGTCTTATATTATAAAGGAGCTAGATTTCCTATTTCATTCAAAGAAATAATCAGTTTTTATCCACTAAGTGTGTTATATAAATACCGGAGGGTAACATTCAGCCCAAGAGATGAAAAGCCCGATGAGCTTACTCAGGAAATGCCTATTTTGTTTAAATGAACAATCGATTTTTGAGTCAGTTCATTGCTCTTATCATTTTTTCTATTTCTCTTTTTATAGAAGGCACAGCATTTCTTGATATTGTGACATTCGTGGATTATTGCTGTCAGTGTTTTATTATGTTTACTAAATGTACGTCATATAAAAGTAATGAAAATAAAAACCGGTTTACGATAATATTTATATCAAAGAAATTGCAGTCAAAACAACAAAAATTGTATTGCCGGAGAAATCCAGATCCTTCTATAACAAGGATTACGAACTATAGTTGTTCAAAGGAAATTGAAGAGTGAAATTATTCCCATGATCAGACGTTTTTAGCACTAACTGCAGCATAAAACATATTTCACGTAACGGCAGTGGCAGTGAGCGTCCCACACCCTTCCATGATTTGACAAATATCAATTGACCAAATATTTCAATCTTGTTGGACTCACTGAGAGATTGGATAAGTCAGTCAAAATGGTTACTGCCTTTATGTGAATAAGGCATATGTGGCAACGTTCGTTCTTTGCTAAAGTCCCATGCATGAGTTGATGAGTAGCATTTCGTGGATATATAGGACAATGAAAACTCGGAAATCTTTGTTATGAACGAATCTACTGATAATACTGTGAAATGTCAAAATTGAAAACGGAAAGATAAAACTCAAGAATATTTTCATTTTCTATGTTGCAAACGAGAGCAGATTCGTTTCCGAAACGTCCAAAGATAAGTGAAACTTTATATCTCATCGTTGAACCTATTTTTTCTACTCCAAAAATTGTTCTAACAAGGTGTCGCTGACTATCTAATACATTTTTTAATCGAGTTCCTAATAGTGAGATATTTGTTTTTCGTAGAAACGAGAAGAGAAAATCCCGCAAATCTACAGAAATGGACGAATCAATTTTCAGTAAAGAACATCAAATACTAGAAAAAACTCACTGAGATCCCTCGCAATGCTCCTTTGATGGTCCAGGCAAGATACAGCTTGTTCCAAATTCCCCAGATCAGCGTGCAGTTGACCCAGTTCACCATAAGCTGCAGCTTTAGCATCAGGATTACCCAATTCGTGGGAGATGACCAATCGTTTCTCAAAGCACACCAATGCTTGCTGTAGGTTCCCAAGAGATTTGTGGGACTGGCCTAAACAGTTTTCGATGTTCAATAAGTGCATGTAAATGTACACGATTTTCTCTACCCAGCTAACATACAATCCCTGATCAAGTCCAGGCCCAATTACTGATACCAATAACTAATACTGGCCAAACTCTGATCTCTTACTTCGTCGTATTTCGCCGCTGATGGCTAAATAGTTTTGCCGATGGCATCAGTCATGACCAAAGGACTACCGAAACTCAAATTTGAAATGACGTTTAGACAAACATTCGAATGATTTGTATCACTCTAATAATGCGATGCCCAGTCGTTTGGTGGATACATCTTACAACTAAATTTCTGACCGCTCCATACTTTGGCAAAAACAGTCTCCCCCTTTATGGAATCTTCTGGAACGAAAATGCTGTGGAGGCATTTACTGTTGAGGCCGCAATTTCAATGATATTTTCTTTCGCGCAATAGCGCTCATCGCTGAAATTTCCATAATGGGGAGACTCTTTAGCAGTAACGTAGGAAAATATAGATTCCATATACAGAGTGAGTCATAACTAACCAGCCATAACCTAATGGCGGATAGAGGAAATCATGGTGAGTTGATATATATGTGAAAAAAATAAATTCTGGCAATTCATAACAGAAATACAGGGCATTATTTGAATTCAGGGGGAAACTTTGATGAAGGATATTTCAGGAATGTCCCGATGTTTTCGCTTAAAATTCACCAGCAAATTATCTCTACTGACACCCCTCACGAAGACCTACTATAGAAGAAAAATTCTAGAGCCGGACTAAGAAAACTAAACTCATTTTTTCTTCAAATGTCAAAATTTCGACTTTCTGAATCGCATTTCTCAAAAACTTTCATCAGAATCAGAAAGATCAGAAAAAACATTACAAGTGTAGCTTTTCAATTTGTACACGGTACACTTCGACCGGATTGGGGAAAAATTATCAAACAAAATTCAGATGCAGGCCATTACTCACTACATTTGAATAAAATTATTCGAATCAGTTTTTCTGCATATGATATAGCAGCAGAGTTGAGAAAAGATGTTATTCAAAAGAATTCAGGACCGGATTTGGTTTTTGGAAAGAATTGCGAATCATAATTTTCGTTAAATATTTGTCTGTATCCTAATATTTTGTTTTAAGTAATGAGGAGGTGCCCCATCATCCTGTTGAGAGATAATAATCAATCAATTTTCATACATCCTTGCATCACAGCCTTCTTTTGTAGTGTTTCCTAAGTAATGAAAACATACCAAACTCACAATTTGATTCGCTGATTGAGAGAGTTCACTTGCAATGAGCATATCCAATATTACCTCAAAATTTGCAATTTGTATGAGTTGGCACGTATATCTGATTCTGATAAAATATTTTTTCTGCAACCGACACAAAAGTCGTCCATTTTGCTACCAAAATTAGCTCCTAAATTGACGTTCCTTTTAATGACACAAAAATAGGTATGTTGCTATTTAGTTCCTAGGAGCTAAAGTTGAACTTTAGTTCCTAGGTGCTGAAGTTGAACTTTAGCTCCTAGGAACAAAAAAGGATGTACTGAGCTTCATCAAGAATAAACAACATTGTGACGGTTGGCTATTTGGGTTGAGACGCATACCTGATTTGTTTCCGATTTCGACAGATTTGGCATTTCATACCCATGCTGGAGATATAAATAAACCTAATTATAGTTAAGTATTGGAATTATAAACATATCTCAGTTGAGTATTTTTGTTTTGATCAGGGAAGCCTTCAAGATTCAGATACTTGCTTGATCTGTATTTCATTCGTTATTCTCTGGATGGATAACTTGTTTTTGAATAATCACGGTGAGCAATAGTTTTTTTGTCTCAAACAACAATATTGTTTAGCTTCATTTCATTATCAAGTCAAACACAATGTAGTAACTGTAGTATGGATAGGAATAAATAATCGCTCATATTATTATTGATATGCTCACTAACCTACCATTTTCCACGTCTTGTTCCAATAGCTGGCACTGGCGCGGTATTTGCCATTATAGAGCACCTGGTCCATACACAAATATGTCACTCTGTGATTGTATTTATATTGAAACTACAATTCGAACATCCTTGAAAATTGAATGAACCTGCTGTTGATGCAGGTAGAATGTTCCCACTACACGGATTATTTGTCAATATTTGTTGCATTGCATACATATATGGCACGGCATTGGTGGTAACTTCACATATTTATTTGAGTTAATTGTTTCGGTTGCAGAAAAAATAAGCATGTTTCATTCGGATCAAAAGTGACTTTGTTCGACTCGCAAATTTTGCTTTCGCTCGGCTTCGCTAAACGCTCCGCCTCGCAAATTCGAAATTCGTTTGTCAAACAAAGTGTCACTTTTGATCCTAATGAAGCAATCTACTATTACCCATGCAATAATTTTTTTAAATGTTTCATCGCTTGGAGCGAAAGAAAATTCCTATAATGTTCGAAGAACATCGTGCGTACCCAGGGAGGATAGGGAGAGGAGGAAGGTATTGAATTTTTTTTTATTAGGTACTTATTTCCATGTCAAGAAAAGTAAGTCCGGTCCTGGATTTTTTAATCGTATAGAGCCCCTTTCAACTCATTATAGAACACCGATATGCAATACATGGTTTTGAATGAATTTGTTGAACGATGTGACTACACAAGCCAGTGCGAAATCATGGAATAATTCATCAGTAGTTTGTTCGATATTTTTTCACCAATCCGGTGGAAGTGTGCCGTGCAAATTGGAAAGCTACACTTGTAGTTTTTTTCCTGATCTTTCTGATTCTGATGAAAGTTTTTGAAAAATACGATTCAAAAAGTCGAAATTTTGACATTGAAACAGACAATGAGTTTTCCAAGTACGGCTGTGGTTTTTTTTCCATAGTAGGCCATCGAGTGGTGTGTCAGTAGAGGTAAGTTGCTGGTGAATTTCATGCAATAACATCGAGACGTTCCTGAAATATCGTTCATCAAAGTTTCGCCCCGAATTCAAATAATGCCCTGTATTTCTGTTAGGAATAGGCAGAATATATTTTTTCCAATATATATCAACTCACCTCGACTTCCTTCATCTGCCATTAGGCTATGGCTGGTTAGTCATGACTCACCCTGTAGAAATTTCCTCTCGATAATCTCTGTCTCTCGTCTAGGATAGGACTCAGCTCGATTGAAATTGCCAACTCTTTAAAAATTATATACAATTACGCACTGGCTTATTTCATTTCATTTCTTTCGAGCCATTAACATGATGGCCACAGGCCACAATTTTATTTCAAGTACTGGCCATTCAAAATATACAGGCATTTCGACGTTCTGTTCAGCAAGTTAGGTCAACATTATAGGTAGGTACCTACCGACCAATTTTATTTGCTGGGAACCTACTCATATAAATTGGAAACAACTGCATTGCCTGAATTGTCAACAGTTATCGTGTGTATTTCTGTGTGCTTTCTATATACAAATGGTACACACAGATAAAAGAGATGTGTGGAGAAAAAAATTATAAAAATGAATTGCTTACCTAAACCTCTATAGGCTCTTTCTTGATCTCTGGGACTTTTCAATTTCAATGACACTGCAAGATATTGCTCATGACATTTTGCTGCCTCTTCAGGATCACCTAAAGCTTCATAACAATCGCCAAGGCTACCAAAAGCTCTCCCCTTGTCAAGTAGAGCTATCGGAGAACTCAGTCTTTCAAGTGTTGCCAGCTGCTGTTCAAAATATCCAATGGAATCTTCATAGTGTGCCATGTTCAGTCTATAATACAATGAAAAAGTTTACGAGAAGGTCGATAGATGAATCATAAAATAAAGTGGAAATATTTCGTATCTGTCATAAGTATTGAGTTGAGCATCATACAAACAGGCACCCCTCATCAATATTCGATGAAGAAAACGAAATTACATCTCAAGTAGCTGCTATGAAGAGATATTCTGATCCAAAGTTTTGTCTACAGTTTTTTTTATTTCTTTTATTTTTCCTCGGTCTTTTCTGATGTAGATATTTGTCTGAATTCGATGATTTAATAAGTGGACTTTTATGCAAACATACTGTACGACAACGGATAATCATACTGACCTATCCTACACAATGTATCTCAATGTTTTACTATTTTTATGACATAAATATAGGTATACTTGGATTTTTTCATCAAACTTCATTCCATTTGATGGAGCAAATTTTCACATACGCCACACTGAGACGGTGGTTGTTTTTTATAAGTTATAAAAGATTCTTAATCGAATCAATCAATAACAGAAATTGTGCTTTAATGCCAAAACTAACTTAGTCAAATATACTAAAATTCAGGTTATGGCGGAACTGGATAAGTTTGATGATCGCGTACAACGTTCTGCGAATCTCACTAAGTCAAGAAATATTCTTAAGTTCCATTATTTCTCATGAATAATTCACACCAAGTCCTTATTTATTTACCATTCGTTCATTTATAAACTTATTAAGTCTCTTAGTGAGTTTTTGATCGACTAGATATTATTTGAATTCTCCCTCACTACGTGACTTAGTGAGCACGAATTTGATAAGGTGCCTATCAGTATGGAAAATTGAGAGTTCAAAAGCTATGAACGCAAAAAGGATAACATTCTTATGATGATCGAGGTTATACTTCTCGCAAAACACGAAATTTGGCATTAAGCCCACGAAATATTGACTTCTGTAAATCTTGTATCTTTCCTTTCCATTTCAAAATATATTTTCATTCACCTAATTTAGCACTTTCATTGTCACCTCCCTTATTTTTTTAACCCTGCTAATATTAGAAATTTTTGCGGCAAATCAGCAATAGTTGTAACTTAAATCTGCATAACTGACCTCTATATACATAACTAGATATTATTTGAATTCTCCCTCACTACGTGACTTAGTGAGCACGAATTTGATTAGGTGCCTATCAGTATGGCATATTAGGAGTTCAAAAGTTATGAACGCAAAAAGGATAACATTCTTATGATGATCGAGGTTATATATTTCTCGCAAAACACGAAATTTGGCATTAAGCCCACGAAATATTGACTTCATTCTGTAAATCTTGTATCTTTTCATTTCAAAATATATTTTAATTCACCTAATTTAGCACTTTCATTGTCACCTCCCTTATTTTTTCTGACCCTGCCATTATCAGAAATTTTTGCGGCAAATGAGCAATAGTTGTAACTAAAAACGGCTCAAATTATTGCCGCGTCAAATTTCTGGCCTCAATGCTATCGACAGGCTTGAAAAAACTGTGGATTTGCATAAGTGAAGGAAATCACAGTGCATTTACAATAATCAATCCTAAAAATTACCTTGCTATTCCCAGATTCCCATAAGATTGTGCTTCTACGGCGCAATCTTGGAGCTCTTGAGCTCTTTCCAGCTGTTCTTGGTAGCATTTCACTGCATGTGTATAGTTGCCTAGAGCCATATGAACTGCACCTAGATGGCCGTGAGCTCTACATTCGCCAGATAATTCGGACATCTCCTGTCTTAGAGTCAGTTCCTGCGTATGATAACCTGAAAATTCAAACAAAATGACTGTATAAAACTATAAATGTAGATTTTTTTAATCATCTTCAAACTAAAGCGGTCAAAGAATGGTTGCTGTCAAAGGGTCAACGACTAAATATTGTTGTCGGACTACGTCTTCCGAACTGCCGAACACTTGGTAGAACAAGGTGGATGACAGTCAGTGACGTGAGCTCGATAAGAGACGTCTTCTGCCCAATAGTTTTGGTGTTCATAAATAGTGTCTTTCCCATTTCAACATACTCCATTGCCTATGGAGGATAACACTAGTCAACCCAAGATCACACGAGCAAGATCGAGCCGCGTATCGGCTATTTGGCTATCTAAGGACATGTCATCTTCTCCTGACCGGTTCCGGGGATTTCTTCCACAGAACTCTCCCTGTACAAAGGCTTCAGGACCCCGCCATACAGAAGCTCCGAGACAATATCCAGTCCAAAAATATCCTGTCAAAAATGTCCTGCGGAAAATATCCTAACCATATGCGAAATTATACCCTCCAATAATCCATCCATCCATTTTTTGATAAAAAGTGCTGTTATATTTTAAAAAACACAATTTGAACACCCTACAACTTCTTTTGAATTGACTCGACCGTTACTTGATGGCCATAGCAAATGTAAAAACTTCTCAAACGAGATTTCCACAAAATTCTCAAACACACGACATGTTTCGCTAATACAGTAGCTTCATCAGGTGAAATACTGGTACAATGAACTAAACTAACCTCGACTTGCCTAACTTTTATATATCCTACTTTCCCAACCTGAAGGATTTGAATTCACTGTGGACAGGTTCGATAAACCTTCGTTTTCGGAAAATAGGCACAATATCTACATTAAAATACGGTGTATCCGAATAACTTGAAAGGGCTGATAGCAAATACATCGAAACTATGATGATTTTCTTCTATTGGCGTATGTTGAATTTGTTTGCTTTTTCAAAAAATTCAACTCATGTTCATGAATGCGCTGATTAAACATACGACCTGTCTGACTGATATACACCTTTGGACAAGATCCACAGATGAGTTTGTATACCCATGATTTTTCGAATTTAGTTTTGTCTTTATTATTTTTGATAAACTTTCTCAACGTGTTATTTGTTCTATTTGCTACTCTCAAGTCATGTCTATGTAGAAATAAATAAATTGAAGAGATATGAAATTTTCTAGGAAACAATAATAGAATGGCCTGTAGGACAATATCGATACCTGTTTACCGCTGGAAATTAATAGTAGTAATAAATCACTATTTCTTCTAGTTGAATGAATCAGTTTATAAATGTCAGTGTCGTTGCTCACTTCTGCCGACGAATAACGTAACAATGAGTCGAATATAAGAAAAAATGAATACCAGGAGTATACGCGATAGAAAATAACACGTCGCCTTACCTGACGACAATAACTTGAACACTTCTGAGCGGTTTGTTTTTAGGATATAACCAATAAGCAGAAACCAAAAACAAATATGAACCAATGAAACCAAAGTAAACATGCCATTTTGACAGCTTTCAAGAACTCCTATAAGTGAATCTGAAACATTTCTGTTCATAATAGGCATACATGAATACATAAAAAAGATAATAAAGGGTTAATTAATGAATTCCACTCAGTGGAAACATATTGATATTGTTTCTTAAGATGAAAGTTATATCATTTCATTTCTGAGTAATCATTTCATGCCACATATTTTTCATTCAAATTTTCCTGAGCAAGTTAATTTTAAACCTTCTTGTATCATGTATATTTTTCAACTCAGTTGGTAATGAATTGGATAAAATCATTCCATTGTGAAATACAGATTGTTTGCCAATGTGCGACTTGAATGTATTTGCTATGAGGTAATTCAATTGTCTAGTCCCATATAACTATGGACCTTGATTATATACACTAGTGTGAATTCTCAAAGCTATGGACTATATTATATATATTATACAATATACATGTTTGATCTGTAAAGAGCAATTCTCAACAATATTCTCAAAAAGTTTTGCAGAATTAACCAATGACATACAAATTGTTAAGATACTTTCTATATAAATTGTACTGAATCGACATAGGTACCTAATGCTTTGTCAAATCTTTTGAGCAATCGATGAGCAATTCCTAATGCACCACAAGCTGCGGCTTCCATTCCTCTATCTCTATTGCCTCTTGCCAAAGCTAGCTGTCTATGATACATCTTGATAGCTTCTTCAGTCTCTTCCATCTTTATGAGAACATCACCAATATTGCCGAGAGCTCTGAATTTACCTGAAAGAAATCATTATTTCGGAAAAATGTTTAATCAGTTGATATTGAGTCATTCGTTTACCTGACGAATTATTCGTCATATGTGCTATAGCTAAAAAGTATTTTTGGCATTCTAATGACGTATCCAGTTGACCCAAAGCTAAATGAGCTAAACCTAAATTACAGTACGCCCTTCCCATATTCATCTTGTCTTGCAAATCTTTGGCCAGCGCTAAGTCTTGATCGTAGTATCGTACTGCTTCTCTATAGTTACCTATACAGTAATGTGCATATCCTAAAAAATAATGATAATTTTGGATAAGTATAGCTATCTAGATAATGAATAGATAATTTACCTAAGAAATGGCATGCTTTCGCTTCCCCCTCTATATCTGAGAGTTCTTGAGATAGCATTAGATATTGTTCGTAATATGGCACAGCTTCACCAAATTCGGATCGAGAACTAAGACAGTTTGCTAGATTTAGAAGAGCACACGCTTCACCCGCTGTATCTTTGAGTTCTCTTGCAATTCCTAAAAACATAGAGGTAAACATCAATATTTAGTAGGTATCCCACTGAGCAAGGAACATCCTGGGGAGGTTTGTTAACGTTAATTCCTTGTACTTTTGGTGACCTTTTTGAGATAACATCTTTCAGAAGTGATAATAACATATGTGTGAGACGTTTCAATTTGTTCTTTATTTGGGCTGACTCAGCTACATATCCAGATGAACGTCGCTGTTTCGTTTCAGTAAACTGACCTATGAACGTTTATGTGATCTTTTTCGAGTCAATATTTCGATGTCTCCTCCAGAGTATTCTTATTTCATTCCCAGAACGTTTAATGTGACGTACTCTTCATCATTTTTCGTAACAGTATCATCACGAACTTGATTCAAATCGTATACGTTATTAATTCTTATGTCTAATATTCGCGCCATTTTGCGTGATTTGTTCGACGAGATTGATGATGCCGAATGATGCTGATCGTGGATGTTTGTATTGTTTTTTGTGTCTCACAAAGTGTGAATTTGAGTAAGCCAAGACAGTCAAGTGTGAGTGCGATATTTGAGAAACATGGTGAGATCACGGTGATATAGATGAGTTGAGTTGCCAATATCATAACTTGTATTGCTTTTCAAGTATGGAAGTGTTAATCTTTTATTGTTCCTTTCTTGGTTTGAATAACTCAGTAATATATTATCTGAGTTTTGGGGTTAGATCATACAATGAAGAAAAATATATCACTCGAGAGCTTACAAGTTTTACATAAGCTAGCCCAAATAGTTTCATTCATGAGCCTTCACGAAAGCTTTCATCGGAAGATATCAATGTACTCAAGTACTGCAATGTTCACAGGTCAGTACTTATGAAGTTTACTCGTAATCTGGATATGTAACTACATTTCTAGAACAAAATGTGAGCTCTGAACAGATCTACCCACTGGACCTATCCTATATTAGAAATGATGGTGTACAAATCTGCTCTGTTTACCTATAGTTAGGTTACATATTATATGAAAATGTGAAATGCATAGTAATGTACATCATGGAGGAAGGTGAATGACAACAGTTTTTTATTATAATAAAGTTCAATATATACTTATGGTATATATTTCTCTGGGATTTCATTCAATCGAGAATAGAGACATTGAATTAGGGCACAAAAACCAGAAGTCCACTATTCTTGAAAGGCGTAATGGCAAAAAGAAAATAGACTCTTACATTAGTTTCAAACATCCTAAGCTACCCTCTGTCGCAGGAGGGGGAAAGCATCGAGGATAAAAAACACACCATCGAGGTAGTATGATATGAATATTTGATATGCTGAAATTGTATACTTTTGGCTTTATTACTGTGAACTTCAACTCCTATTTTTTGCTGCGTCATTCCAAACATCTTTTGCTTAGAGAAAAAAAACTAAATAAGCTATTATTGCATGGTCTCCTACTCACTTGCCTCCTAACAGTTCCTGTTTTACATTTCTAATTCATATTGAGAAATCATTTTCTCTTTTTGTTTGGTTGATTTCATTGAATAATATTCATGTTGTGTCGAGTGTTTTGTTAACCATAAAGTTTGTATAATTATATATATTTATCAGTTTCTAATCTGAATTTTACTTCAAATTAATCAATTGAAACTATTTCGATTAATTGAAAAATTGGAAATTTACAAATTAATATACAAAGTTTTCCATTAATGTTGTATATGAATCAGATTTTTTGGGTCAAAATATGAAGAGTTCCTCAACACAAGTTTGTCCGAAAAATGATTCCTTTTCGAGATATATAGGTACATATGATGATTGAACTCATTGTATCTCAGAAAAGAATCGTTTTCAAGTATATTATATTTATATAATTCATTTTTTCATATTTTGACCCAAAAATCATACCTCAAAGTGTATTGAACATTAATGAAACACCTTGTATAATACAATGTACTTTTTCACATCTCGAAACACATGGGAAAAAAGACCGAATACATTATGGTTTCATTGTAGGGGAATCCGAAGGGAAGTACATTTGCTGTAAAAAAGGAGTTTCTTGTTATATGAGTTATTACCGTTTCATTATAGTTACCGTAATGAGTACTCTTGCTGTAACAAAGTCGTTTCCGTTAACATATCAGATTGGAATCATATTTAATATTATTCAGATTTCGTTATGTTGGTGGAACGACTCTAAAACGGTATTTGAGACATGAATGGGGCAATAATCATAACGTAATAATGTACCTTGGTAACTATTTAATAACGTTAGTTGTACGAGTTTTTGCATAGTGGGATAGGTATAACATAACGAGGTTTTATCATAATAAATTCACGAACATGATAGGCATGCGATCCAAATGATGAAAAAACAAAACAGCACATTAATGGATTACCTAAGTGAGCCCTGTAATGTAACAGTGCCATATCATGAGCTCCTAATGCCTGGTATGCCACCGCTAAGTTTCCGTGAGTACTCGCCTCGGAGCTTCTATCGTGAACCTCTTTGCTGATGGTGAGTTCTTGCTTGTGATATTTTATAGCGGATTCATAGAATCCAGCTGCCGAATAGGCATTACCGATATTGCCGTACGCTCTTCCCATACCGGCTCTATCTTGAAGGTTTCTTGCAATCGTAAGATGAGCTTGGTGCAGTTTGAGTGCAGCGTCATATTCTCCTAAAAATTGTAAGTGAGTAGGTTTAAAAAATGTCGAATAAATAGTTAGTAAAAACAAAAAGAATAGTTATTCATACACCAAGGTAGTAAAGAATATCATTATTACCAAGCGACTTCAGCCGAGGGTTATATGATGATCCCGTGGTGATAATATTCTTTACTACCAAGGTGTATATTGAATTCTTGTCACCACTAGCAATACATTCCAATTATTTTAGTTCTGTGAAACTGAAATATGAAGCTTTTGTCACTATGAAAGCACTTCTTTTCAATTCAAATCGAAACCTAGTAGCCATGACCATGACAGCATGTGAGAAATCGTTATTGATGAATACCATGAATACCAACTAGATTCGAGTTCCATTTCTACGAATTTCGTATCAGAACAGTGAATGGGTCGTGTGCAAGATCTGTCAGATGACCGACCCTGGAGTTCAAACAACACAAAATAACCTCTCTTCTTCTTCTTCTTCTTTTTCGGAGCACTGGTGCACCAGTCCCATGGCGGGTGAACCCCCTGCACGTGGGCCTCCTTATTCGGGCCCATTGTGTGCCCACATGTTACGACATTCAGCTGGGTATGCCGACTGCCTTGGAGAATTTCAGCAGCTTCCTCAGATGAATCTCTTTTACGTCCTCTGGCCTCAAAATTATGTTGCCAAGGACAGCCCTCCTCTGATGCGTCAGTGCTGGACACTCAGTGAGGACATGTGATGACGTTTCGTCATCTTCCAGGCACCATCTGCAAAGGGGGCCATCCTTGATCCCAATAAGCTCTAGGTGTCTATTGAGGGGGTTGTGCCCCGTTAGGAGCCCCACTACCATTTTAAGGTTTCGCCTGTTCAGGAATAAAACCTCTTTTGCGAGCCTCTTCGAAGGTTCCTTTATGTGGAGCTTCGATTGTCTCATTCCTGGTGTGTCCTGCCATATTTTGAGGAATTGCTTTTGCAGCTGTTCCTCTATAGAGGACATTGCCAGGCTATTTGGTATTTCCAAGATTGGTTCCGGTCCGACCGAGGTCCGTCCTGAACCGATCTTTGCCAGTCTGTCTGCCTCCTCGTTTCCCGGTATTCCCGAATGTCCCGGGACCCACATCAGGCTGACTTTTCTTGATTTTGCCAGGTTTTCCAAGGCTTTTCTGCACTCGGACACCAATTTGGATGTGATCCTATTGGATTGCAAAGCCAGTATTGCAGCTTTGCTGTCCGAGCATATAGTGATTGGTCTACGACCTCTCATAATTAGGTTTTCTTGGACGCAGGTGAGTATTGCAAGTACTTCTGCCTGGAACACTGAGGCATATTCGCCTGAAGGAACTGAAATTTATTTCCCTGTTTCTTCATTGTATACCCCTGCACCTGAACTGCCCCCAAATTTTGAGCCATCCGTGTACCAGATTGACTCATTAGGAAGAGGCACGCCAGGTGTTGTGTCATTCCATTCTTCCCTCGTAGGGATGACAGTGTTTGGGGCTTTGTTGAAGTTCAGAATTGGCAAGGTATTATCCCTTCCCATCATGAGGATGCGACAGTTTTCCTTTGCCTTATTCCATATGATGAGGGAGTGTCCATGATCTGCTTCTGTTCCGTCCAACTGGTTTGCACCGTTGAGTCGGTAAGCAGTTCTCATGGCTTCGTGTTGTATGAACAGGTGTAGAGGCGGCAGACCTAACAGAACTTCAGGAGCCCTGGTAGGCGTCGTTCTCAGAGCACCTGTTATTCCCAGGCAGGCCAGTCGCTGGACTTTATCCAGTTCTCTGTTGGTCTTGCCCTTATTGGTACTGGTCCACCATACAATGGACCCGTACGTAAGTGTTGGGCGTATTACTGCCGTGTATATCCAGTGAAAGGTCTTAGGTGTGAGACTCCATGTTTTTCCAAAGGCTCGTCTGCATGCCCAGAAGCAGCATACAGCCCTCTGAGCTTGAAGTCTATTATAACTCCAAGGTATACTTTGACGAGCTTTTATATTGGAGACACTTTCCCGAGAGAAATATCTCAGGAAGTGTTCCTATTTTGCGTTTCTTAGTGAATAATACCAAGTTCGCCTTTTCTGGATTGACTCTCAATCCACTGGTGGAACACCACTGTTCCACTTTATTGAGGGCTTCCATGATTGGATTCCCTAGCCGGTTCGCCGATTGATTTTGGGCCATTATTACCAAGTCATCTGCATATGCTTGCGCATATAGCCCTGGCTTATTCAAATCTATGAGGAGCTCGTCTACTACCAGGCACCATAGTAGTGGTGATTAAACCCCTCCTTGAGGACATCCTCTTGATACCTTGGCAGCAACCGACCTCCCACATAGTTCTGCTTTTACCACTCGCTGCGATAGCATGGCCCTAATCCACCTAGTCAAGGTTTGATGGACCCCATGTCTATCCGCGGCATGGCATATCGATTCAAATGACGTATTGTCAAATGCTGCTTCTATGTCTAGAAAGACTCCCATGGCTGAGCGTCCACCAGCTAGCACTCCATCTATCTTATGGACAAGATGATGGAGAGCCGCATCTGTGGACTTCCCAGTCTGATAGGCATATTGTTGTGCATGCAGCGGGTTTATTTGCAGTGGCACATCTCTGATGTATCGATCTATCAGCCTCTCCAGTGTTTTCATTAGGAACGACGTGAGGCTGATGGGTCTATACGCTTTGGCATCGGAATAATCTGTTTTCCCTGGTTTCGGGATAAATACGACAGGACCGAAATATCTTCATAAGCAGGGAAATGATGGTGTCCAGTCCCTCTTGTAGGAGGGCCGGAAATATTCCATCTTCCCCTGGTGATTTAAATGGTGCGAATGTCTTTACAGCCCATCTCACCTTCTCGTATGTAACCACCTTTGACGCTGTTTGATAGTCCATGTGAGTTCTTCTCACTGGGCTCGTCCTCAAAAGTGGTTCGTTGGATATTTCTGAATCCGGAAAGTGTGTGGAGATGAGGTGCTGCAAAGTTTCCTCTGCCGTTGTGGTTTCTCGACCATCTGACAGAGACAGCACGCCCACTCCTCTTCCCGGTTCTTTGGAGAGAACTTTGCATATCCTTGCCGCTGAAGAAATTGTGTTTATTTCTCCGCAGTAGGCACGCCAACTGTCTCTTTGTGCTTGCCGAATGGCTTTTTTGTACGCTCTCTGGGCAGACTTATATTCTTCCCAGTGTTGCGGTACGTTTGTGCGTTTCGCTTTGTTTAGAAGCTTTCTTGTGAGCCTGCGGTGGTTTTCTATTTCTGAATTCCACCATGGCGTTCTAGCATTGGTAGCCCTGTCTTTATAAGTGGACAGCTGTTTTCGTACGAGGAAGTGATGGCCTTGTTAAGATACGACACCACTGTATCTATTTCGGCCTCACTCCCGTACTTTGATGGCAAACCCACAAGCCTTCCTTTGAGTTCCTCCCGAAAGAGGTTCCACTTGGTGGCACGAGGGTTCCAAAATAACCTCACTCTTCGTATTCGTTTTCGAGCGGTTGGAAATAGTTTCTCACTATCATTTGTGATTCTTGGGATATTTATTTATTAAAGAGTCCATTACATTGTGCTATTGTACAATGCACAAAAATGCAACAAGAGACGAAGCAATAAATATTTTTCAGATAAATTGTGATCTACCAGTAATGTATTCACTCACATAATTTTCATTTTAAAATTTTGTCACGTCTTTTCAGAATTTCTTGCTGCAATAGGAGCTGATAGAGTGAAAACATCTACAACATTCACGACCATAGTCATTCTGTCATTTCTCTTTAGAATAACTTAAATGTCTACAATACACACGACCATATTTTTCGTCAGTATTTCAGACCAGTCCTCCCATTTGATTGCACGAATCCAATCTTCCTGCTTTCTTTTAGAACGTTTACAAGTCGTCTTATTAGCTCCTATTGTAGAAGGAATTCTAATTGTGGGTAACTATAGGTACATACAGTGCTTATTGTAGATCAGAATTTACCTGAAAATCTGTATTCCTTCGTCTCTCGCTGCATTTTTTGTGCATTGTCGTATAACAGTACAATGTGATGGCATGCTTGAATGAATGAATATCCCAAGAAACACGATTCTATGTCAAAATAACTGTGAAAAACTATTTCAATACATGAAAAAAATTAGGTAAAAGTGAGATCGTTTTGCCTCCAGGGTCGGTCATCTGACATTATGTGCACGCGACCTATTCGGGTTTATTATAACAGAGGTGGTTATGTCTTTATTGACCAGTGGTTCATGAAATGACGAGAACTACCTTGGTACTTAGTGAAAACACACTCGAAAAGAAGAAGTTAATAATGGTAGGTTTCATACCTAATGATTCAACCACAGCTTACCTAATAATTGATAAACAATTCCCAAATTTGAACATGCTCTTCCTTCTCCTATTTTATCTCTAGTGGATAATGCGACATCTAGTTGCCGCTCATGCCACTGTTTCGCTTGTGAATAATCTCCAGCACACCTCGAAGCATGTCCCAGTCCTGCATAAGCCCTCGCTTCCACTGATCTATGGAAAAATCACGGATAATAGGTACAGAAGTATTTCCATATTGGGTATAGGGAATTCCTGCTATCATATCTAAGCTGACCAGAAAGTAATTCATCGAGTGGTGCGCTACAGAGGGTCAGGGTTGTGATAACTTGTCCTCCAATATTTTCTACGCCACTAATGAAATTTCGATTACTTTCAATTTCTAGAATTCATTATTCAATTTTGTTCAAAAACATGCATCACCTTCAACTGAGCTAAAATGAACAGTTTTCGAGATATTTGACCCAAAATAGAAGTTTGCATAGTGATTTTCCATCATTTTCAGTAGTAGAAAATTACAAAGAAATTTTTCTGGTGGTGAGTAGATCGGATATCTTATAGATATCATTCTGTAACTAAAGAGAAATTGATGTATCATGAATAGCGATAATATATTCCATATTATAGAAGGAATTATCCATGATAATCAGTTAAATGAGTTATTGTATTTGTTGCGCTTATTTTACTCGTCATTACATGCATATATTTAGATGAATAATTTAACGTCGAATTTCCATTTTTACTTTTGCTACCAACGATACTAACTAACGATAAGTACTTGCATCAAAGAATTTAGAATTGTCAAATTGGCGTGTCATCGACTATCACATCATCGTTGAAAATTATATTATGGTTAGCTGTGTCACTCATGAATTGAAGTTTATATCAAAATAATTACATTGAAGTCGAAAATTATACGATTCAAATCAATAGTGAGTGCCAGTGAGTGTCTATCACGGTTTTGATTGAAGTTTAGTGTTGAGTGTTACTTATCCATGACAGCCTGCTGCTGATTCAGTCATTTTGTTTAATGTTTGATTAAACTACAAATGAAGAAGCAAAATACAAAATCTAAAAAACATCATCCCTGACAGCACACAATATCTATTAGATATCCATTGGATGGCACTATATCCACTGAACGGCCATATCCATGAAATATGTCTAATGGATATACAATGGATATAATTCATGGATATTCAATAGAAAAGCGATATTGTGTATCATATCGCCAGAATATTATCAAATATCATGAATAAAATACTAGGGCTGGAAATCCCCATAGGTATTCTTGATGGATTGAAATAACTCAATATTCAATTCATATATCTACTGAATATCCAGTGGTTATCTAGTCAATATCCACTGGATATCCAATCAATATCCATTGATTATACATTATATCTATGTCTAATGGATATACATGTATATTCACTGCATACACTGGATATCCATACAATATATCCTATGGATATCTAATGGATATTGTGTGCTGTCTGGGATGTTGGTACTCAATATCCAATCATCAACCAAAATACAACAACGAATACATAGGTATCGTTCTCGATTAACAATAGATATACTCCAACCCATCAAAAACGTGTATTTTGAAATGAGTGGAATAGTCGATGGAATAATATTATATAATAATATAATATAATATTATTCGCAGTAGCCAAGGTCATCATCTGACATCGCTATGCCATGAAAACTACTTAAAACATGTCTCACTTTCAATCTAAGCCAGGAGTTAGGAATGTTTTTCCGTAGTTTTCATGTCATTACAACGTCAGATGATGCTTGGCCACTGCGAATAGGTATATCAAGAAGAAGTTGAAGTTGAATATTTATTTACTTATCCATGAATAATTATCAATATCTGATTTTTTTGATATTATAATATTGGATTGGAAATAAAAGTTAGTAAACCTCTAATCATGGTAAGTTCCCAAATGCGCAAGTTCCATGGGAACCAGTTTCGAGATTGAAGTTGTGTCGGTGGGCAACATGCGAATAATGATTATTTCTTATTGACAACGTACATACCTGCAACTCAATAACACTCAAATTCTGAAGATGAAATTGAACGTTCCGAATTGATCAAGAATATGCCGCGAAGATGTTATTCGAGTTTTTCCTTTCCTATTGTCAAATAAAATTGATTTCAATAATGAATCTATTGAACGGTATCGTGATTTCTAGGAAATATCAAACTAGAGGTTTTCCTCACTTCTTGAAAATGTAGCACCCTGTATGTGAATTGCTTTGCATTGGAAATATTCTCTTGAAACTTAATCATTTTCTTATACAGACGTCTTGGTGATGGGATTGTTTGTTCCGAACAATGGGACCTTATCATATCCGTACATGTTATTATTGCTCGGATCAAGTCGCAAAGAGCACCGAACTCCTGAGCAAGATTCGTACCGTGAGATCGAAAATATAAAAGAATGATTATCATTTGATTTTTTTATCATGAGGTGCTGATACTGAGAAATGATGGGAATAAGATAAAGTTGTAGGTTTTCTCAGGCAGGCTGTCTTTCTGAGTCATAAGCAGAATTTATAGCGGCCATGAGTATATGGGCGGCACCTAAGAGGAAAATTTAATCTTGGACAAATGGGGATGATGATCGCGACTGAAAAATTGAAGACGAAGACCACCGGATTGGCGAGCATAGAATGGGAATGTTTTTTTTTTGTTTTGGTCAAGATTGAAGAGGGAATGGGATTTTGCGGGACGAGCGAAGTAGTTAGCGACAGGTCGCGTCCGAAAAATCGTGAGGGTGGGCTCGCGACGGGTTGCAGGTATTCGGGGAAACTTCAGGTCACGGTCGTACGAGGGAGGACTAGCGAGTCCTAGGGAAGTCAGTTTGGGAGGATAAATAGAGTGTTCAGAAATGAGCAGTGACCGAATATTTTTGTGGACTTTGTGAAAACGGGAGTTCGATACGGTGGGTTTAAGTGATAATTTGGAGAATTTTTTTGTCAACCCTGAGAGGCAAGAGGTGTTCGCCAGTAGCGGCTCACAACAAATAAGAAAATCAGCTCACGGAAAGCTAAAAGAGTAAAGAAACCAATGTTTTTTGTTAACGTCACTAACAATACCTTGTTGAGTCTATTTTGGGGAAGAATGTTGTTAATTAGCTTACAAGGTACTACATAGCCCCTAATCACGTTAGATAAGCCCTTCATATATATTTATCAAACTAGATAGTTGTTCGTTTCTCAATTAGAATGATTTTATTTGATATCGTTTCAATTCCCTAGTTTAGTTCGATTCCTTAACTTCATTGAATACTATACATTAATTCGTTTTCAAGAACATTTCCAAACAGTTTGTGTCATTTTATGTCATTCACTTTTTTATTTAGATTTAATAAACAGATAAACTTGAAATCAGTTTCTTTTACTTCCATTGTGGAATCTTCAATATACCCTTATCTCATGCTAAAGACCTACCCTCAGGCGTAGGCCGAACTTAGGCCCCATTTCGGCATCAGGCCGCTACGAAAGCGTAGAACGGACATGAGATATTTTTTTTCTTAATTTCGAGTTATAACTCGAAATTAGCTTAATTTCGTGTTACAACTCGAAATTAGCTTAATTTCGAGTTATAACTCGAAATTAGTACTAATTTCGTGTTAAAACTCGAAATTAGCTTAATTCCGAGTTATAACTCGAAATTAGTGCTAATTTCGTGTTACAACTCGAAATTAGCTTAATTTCGAGTTATAACTCGAAATTAGCTTAATTTCGTGTTACAACTCGAAATTAAGCTTTTCTTGAGTTGTAGTACGAAACCAAGCTCTCAATGAGTCAAATTTTCACAGGAAGTAGTCGTATAAATCTCGGTATAGTACCTAACAGTGTAGTTAACAATGAAAGAAATAGTGTACCTATATTATCACACCATATAGGTATTTTAGGAAACTTGTTTTCAACACATCGCTTTTCCATCACAAATAACATATCGCAACTACATTGCAAAAAACATATCGCTGTTATATCGCAGAGTCCTTATCGCAGCGACGTCGCATTGATGAAACTTGAGAGTGACATCCCTCTGACATCGCAGCGACGTCTATGCGACAAAGAATGCGATATCGCAGGTCACAATTGTTACATCGCTGCGATATCTCTGTGATGTTACTGTATTTGCAGGGATGTTGTTTATAAACTTTTTTGTTATTCACTCCAACTTATTTATTTCACTCATTTCTGAGTTATACCGGTTAATAGTAAATGTTTCTTTTATGACAAAAACTGAGACTACGGATGATTTTCACAAGAATGCCATGAATATAAGCTACCATGGCAACCATTGTCATCGCAAATGTTGTCAGAGATATTGTCAAATTAAGCTAATTTCGAGTTGTAACACGAAATTAGTACTAATTTCGAGTTATAACTCGAAATTAACCTAACACGAAACTAGCACTAGTTTCGAGTTATAACTCGGAATTAAGCTAATTTCGAGTTGTAACACGAAATCAGTACTAATTTCGAGTTATAACTCGAAATTAAGCTAATTTCGAGTTGTAACACGAAATTAGTACTAATTCCGAGTTATAACTCGAAATTAAGCTAATTTCGAGTTGTAACACGAAATTAGCACTAATTTCGAGTTATAACTCGGAATTAAGCTAATTTCGAGTTGTAACACGAAATCAGTACTAATTTCGAGTTATAACTCGAAATTAAGCTAATTTCGAGTTGTAACACGAAATTAGCACTAATTTCGAGTTATAACTCGAAATTAAGCTAATTTCGAGTTGTAACACGAAATTAAGAAAAAAAATGTCTCATGTCCGTTCTACGCTTTCGTAGGCCGCCGCCTACAGCATTTCAAGAAACAAAACACTCATAGGGTGATGTTACAAAAACTTGAAACACTGTTGCCAGAGTAATTATGGGTAGTAGTTGAACTATAGGGCGCCTGATCGTGAGAAGCAAATTGCAAGAAGAAGCAAAATTAAATATAACTTACTTGTCACCAATAGCTTGAGCCAGCCTCAACACTTTCTCGTGATAAACGATTGCTTGAGTAAAGTTTCTTTTGTAGTGGTAGCTAGATCCCAGATTACTGTATGCTCGAGCCTCCTCGACCTGATAAAAAATATTGATTAATACAAAGAATTGAGGAAAAAATAACATGGTTTCTACGAGCTCACCTGATTCCCAAGTCTCCTAGCAATTCGTAAATGTTGTGTATGACAATCTACTGCAGAGTCGAAATCACCCATCGCTAGATAAACTGCTCCAACATTCCCGATCTCTCTCGCCTCCTGTAATTTATCTCCCATTTGTTTGACTAGTTGGACACACTGCTTGTGAGATGCTAATGCATTGGGATAATCTCCGGTGGCAGTGTATACATGACCCAAAGATGTTAAGGCGGCTGCAGCAGCCTGAGTGTCCTTGAAAAGATGAATGAAGAAGTTTCAAATTACTTTCTGTTTCGGAACAATTTCAGACAAAAAAATCGCATGTTGTTTTTGAGTATTATTCATGATTTTTCGATAGGGAGATGTCAGCAGTCGTTATCACAACATATTCAATGTATTCCTCATCAGGATTCATGAGTTCAATTATGCAGGTTGAATATACAAAGGAGAAAACTGAAACAGTAGTGGGGATAAGATAACATCTATATTCAGTCAGGTTAAAATAGGAAGAAATCTTCTCTATCTTGTATAAAGTGATTATTAGGCTTGAAATAAAATGTCAGAGGAAATGTCTACCTTAGTATCATGACTGATGATGATCAACTAATAGTTTCGAACAAGTCGGACCATATATGAGTAAGTACATTAAATAACTTTGGAAAATTATTTTCAAAATAATGATTATTCAACGAAGAAACCAAATGTGTCTATTTAGTGCGTAATTCTTCGATATTTCGAAAGCCATAACCTATAGAGAAAAACTTTGGAGGCAAAACTTTTTCAGTTACTGAAGTTGCTCATTTCAAAAATATTTTCAACATTACTAGGTGTTTTATAAAAGCGGGACGACTCGGAGACGAGTTTTTTTAAATGGCACACCCAGTATTTTTAATTTGGAATTTATTCCGTCGAGGCGTTGCGAAGTTTTGAACTTGACAACGCCGCAACCAATTTCGATTTTTTTTCCAGTGATGAAAAGGCGAAAGATGTCGGAATGAATTTGTGAATGAAAATACAGGGTGTTCCATTTGAAAGATTCTAATGAATATCATCTGAATCTTGCAAAATTCTAGATGCAAAATTGAGCACCCTATTGAGGAATATGTCGCAAAATTACTGGATTGGTGTACGTGAGACCTTGCTACTACTGTATGCCAAAAATATTTTCAAAATTTGGATTAATGAAAATACCATGCCCAATTCAACATGACTCTTCAATAGTGATGAAAATGGGTTTATCAATTATAACTTTGCAACGCCGCAACCAAATTCAATTTTTTTCACAGCGATGTGAAGGTAAACTTCGGCGGAATAAATTCCGAATAAAAAATACTGGGTGTTCCATTTTAAAAAACTCGTCTCCGAGTCGTCCCGCTTTTATAAAACACCTAGTAATGTTGAAAATATTTTTGAAATGAGCAACTTCAGTAACTGAAAAAGTTTTTCCTTCAAAGTTTTTCTCTATAGGTTATGGCTTTCGAGATATCGAAGAATTACGTACTAAGTGGACACACTGTATACCTACAGGGTGTTTTCAAAATTCAGTTTCAAGATTTCAGGTGCTCATTCTTCAGGTCAAAATAAGACTTTTTTTCTTATAAACATGTTTCCGCAAACACTCGGTTACCGATCTACAGAGCGTAATAATTTCAAGATTTTATTATCTATCTCTTCGAAGCTCTTTCAGATTTTGAGATATAGTAGAAGAGCTGGCTGCAAAATTCGACCGTCATTTGATAAGGAGAAGTTATATGTTCCAAAGGCATGAAAAAACTTCGTTATTTATCGAACGGCATCATTATCCTGAGCAAAATGATTGAAAAAATGGCACTTTGCTGTGCGGTAATTTGCACTTAATTTTGCGATTTGATAACGAAATGAGACTTATGCCATCCGATACCAATTGAATAGTAGTTCTCAAAAACCTATTCGTGTCATTCCTTAACCTGGCCCAAATCTACGGCACAGCGATGTATTTGTTGCCGTTAATAAGGACATACTTCCGTCATGTGATAACGATTTGCGAATATCCAAACGTGCCGCGATTCAAACTGAGCTAAGTTAGTGGCAGAAAGTCAGTATTCCGAGAATATTTCGTCCCTGTCGAGAGACAATATCCGATGGACCAGTGTGAAACTCATGTGATGCTCGCACTTCAAGCATTCGAATCCACATTTTGAGTTTTACACTGGTCCATCGGATATTTTCTTTCGAGAGGGGCGAAATATTTTCGGAAATGACGCTCTGTCACTAACTTAGCTCAATTTGAATCGTGGCACGTTTGAATAATCACAAAGGGGACATTATTCCCTCTCATTTTTCCTTTGTTTCAAATCGTTATTACATGACAGAAGGATGTTCGGAATAACGGCAGCAAATACATCGCTGTGCCGTGGATTTGGCTCCGATTAAGAAGTGACACAGGTAGGTTTTTGAGATCTACTATTCAATTGGTAACGGATGGCATAATTCTCATCTCTTTATCAAATCGCGAAATTAAGTTCGAATTACCGCACAGGAATGTGCCATTTTTCTATCATTCTACTCAGGATAGTGATTGTCACAGGTGCTACTCGATGAAATACAATGTTATTTATTCATGCCCTTTGGAACATATAATCATTTCGTTATCAGATGACGGTCGAAATTCGCAGCCGGCTCTTGGACTAATATATTCAACTCAAATTTGAAAGATTGATTACGTTTTGGGGTTTAGATCATACAGTATGCCGAGGGATTGTAAGAATCTACAGAGAGAGAGAGATTCATAAAGGAATGCGAAACTATGTTTGAAATTTAGTAGTAGAATTATTTTGATGTTTAAGATTACCTTACATTTCATTGCCAACACCAATTGATACCTATGTGCAGTTAGAGCCTCTTTATATGAACCTTGGCTGAAATATGCAGAACCCAGATTACCATGTGCTCTACATTCTCCAGCAGTGTCTCCTAAACTCTTAGCAATGGCAAGATCTTGTTGCATATATCTGAAATAAATCACTCATAATAGACATTGATGAAACCAACCATTCCTTCAAAATTAAATTGCAGACTATAACCCACATAACATACGATATCCTATACACAGTGTGACCAAGATAAAGTTGCACAGAATGTGGATCTCGGAAACGGGAGGAGATACAAATTCTGTTCATAGGTTTCCAGTTATATCGAAAAAGTGAGTTTTTGGAAAATCTATCTTTTTTCTCCGTTATTATCAGACATACCGAAAAACTTAACATACTTTTTGTAGCAACTTTTGATGAGATTCAAGGTGGTGATATTGATTTCTCTAGGCGCTGTTTCGTATTCGTAGAACCATCAACAACTTGCAACTCATAGGCCACTAATATATAACGAATGATGCATTTTATATTTCAGAAGTACCTCACAACGAAGAATCAACTTTGAAGGAAAGCTTCCCAATAAGATGTAGATATCACATACCAACCAGTAAGCAGTCACTCCGAGAAGTTTCATCGTTGAAGAACAGAGAGGTTGAGAAGATATCATTTTGTCATTCATTATATTGTTTTCTTGAAATCTGGTATGTGTGATTCATGATGAGAGGGTTATACTGTGGAATAAAGAGGTACTAGAACTGTCAGATCCATTGGACCCCTAAAACCCCTACCCCTACCTCGATAGTATGTAACCAATGTCGTTAATTGGCCATCAATACATCAATCATTTATGTATATGATGGGCTTGCTATGGGAAACTCAGAACATTGAATCACATATTTCCGAAAACTATGCATTGATACGTATAAACGTGTAAACGTATAATAGTTATTTATGTATCAAGGGCGTAAAGTTGGCGTTTATGGCATGCAGCGTGAATAATGGCCCGATGGCGCCAGCCAGTCTATTTTCGGTTTTGGACTGTTTCTTCCCTTCCTTTCTACTCAGATGGCGTTGCTGTCATATTGCCTATAGAGGACGCCTCTGAGGGAATATAATGCAGACTTGATTTTTGTTTGGCTAGGCTACATTTAGTCGGCGGTCTCAAGACTGCTGGCTGGAGACTGCCTGCACTGATGAGAGTCAAAGAGCTCGAATCAATGAGCATTCAGGGAATAATCACTTGTATCAGTATTCGTTTATACGAGTCGATGTATAGATTTCACGAGGATGTAATTCTATGTTCTGCGTGGCATTAGCCAGGAAAGTAGTAGTTTTTCTCCCGAAATCTACGACTGTTGTTCATTTTATTACCCTATTGCTTTGTCCAGTTGGTTTAAGGCCCAGTGTGCTGAGCTCAGCGCACTGAATACTGATCCTCTCAATTTCAAAGAACACGATCCAATTCTTAAGGCCGATTCCAGAACCGTAACCGCTGAATGGTACAATCCTGCAGCTAAAAGTTCCTGAAAAGCATATCGCTAGATTAACACTACAATAAACCTCAAATGAGAAATTAACCAGTCTTTCCTACCACGAATCATATATGATAATAATACGGGTTTTAAGGACCTAGGCTAATTTCTCCTGATGCGAATAATAAAAGGTTTGCGCTAGCGGAGTTGAATATTGCAGTACGAGCCAAAGGCAAATACTGTCATCAACTAAGTGAGTGATAGCCATTTATGGGCGAGTGGGATACTATATACTTTATCACAACTATTAATATTTGAAGATCACATAGAGTAACAATTAACATAAATATAATTATAAACTTCATTGTATGACCTCTTTTTCTCTATTTTCGTACATTTTCGTGTGATGAATAAGCAAACAATAATGAATCGATTGAGCAGCAAAACGAAAACAAGTATCTGTAGGGGAGAACTACCTATGATGGCATCCATAACGAATAACCTCGATGTCAATTAAAGTAACGAATTGATATTCGAGCGAATTTTTTTCATCAGTCTCTTCTTCTTCTTCTCTGCACAGGTGGGCGGGTGCGTAGACCCCTGCACTCAGGCCTCTTCAGTCGGGCCCATTGTGCGCCCACTTGTCCAGCTGAGCATGCCGATTTCTTTGACGAAATTCAGCAGCTTCCTCAGCTGAGTCGCTTTCACATCCTTTGGGTGCAGTACAATTAATGCTCCCAAAGGCAGCTTTCCTCTGATGCACCAGCGCGGGGCATTCAGTGAGTATGTGTGATGATGTTTCATCATCCTCCAAGCACCATCTGCAGATGGGATCATCTTTGATCCCAATATGAGTTCTAGGTGCCTGTTGAGGTGTTTGTGCCCAGTTAAGAGCCCAACTACCATCTTGATATCCCTTTTATTAAGTGACAGGATCTCCCACGTGAGCCTTTTTGAAGGTTCCTTTATATGGAGCTTTGATTGTCTCATTCCTGGTGTGTCCCGCCATGTTTCAAGGAATTGCCTCTGTAGCATTTCCTTCATGAAGGACATAGCCGTACTATTGGGTATTCCCAATATCGGTTCTGGTCCAATGGGTGTCGTTCCTGAACCGATCTTGGCTAGTATGTCTGCCTGCTCGTTCCCCGGGATACTAGAGTGTCCTGGAACCCACATGAGGCTGACTTTCCTAGTTTTGGCCATATGGAAGGGGAAATATGGCGACTATGCCTTCTTGGGAACTATGCCTAGTTAGGCTGTTCTCCCCTACTTGTTTTCGTTATGCTATAGTACTGTTAGTAAACGTTCCACAGATATCCCACTTGCCAATAAACACTATATAGCTACTTTGGAAAGTGTTATACGTACCTGGCCCACAACAGATATCAGAACGAAAGGGCTTTGGTCCAGTTTCATCACTTCCAGTTGCTGGAACGTCGGTTCGAGGTTGTGCCTGAGAGGAGACTTTACGGAGGCCTCCACCAGACCGGCAAGTAATTGCTGCGAGCTGGGATCTTGTCCCAGGCCCTGGCTGAATGCCGCCAAAGCATCTCCGTGGCGGCCCAAGCACTGCAAAGCAACGCCTTGCCTGAAATGAATAGGTATATAGGTATAAAGCTCAGTAAAACGGTAACGATTAGGACCCAATCCGGGAAAAAATTCAAGTAGTCTACTTTTTATAGGGCGGTCTTTTCGATATAACGTTTTAAAAAGGAATATTCTCAGATAAATTATGAACTTACAAAAATGGATATATATTGATATAAAGCAATACATTGAGAATTCGCATTCTCTATGTGATGAGAATATTTACTCAACTTTCAGTTGATTCAATAGAAAACAACTACTTTCCTGGCTATATGCCACGACGAACATTGAATCATATCTATTGAACACACACGATAAGAGTTTGAAAATAAAATATAAAAACTTCTGAAATTGAGAATTTGCATTCTCCTTCAGACAAAAATATGTATATGCACACATCATTCTGAATATTCAACAGAAAACAACTACTTTCCTGGCTATTTGCCACGTCGAACATTGAATTATATCTGATGAACATTCAAAAGGAGAACATGAAAAATAAAGAATAAAATCCTCCGAAATTGAGAATTAACATTCTCCTTCAAATCGGATGAATAATGATAAAGAAATATGACTCACAAACTTGAACGATGGAAACTTGTGATTTTTATAGACCTCTAATCGCAGATTCGTGATAGAGTCTCAATTCAGAATTTCTTTCCACGCCCTGTATGATGAATGTCAATTTATCATACACCCAAAAGCAATAACGTTTTATTTCCGAGTTACAGGCAAAAAACCGAAAGAAGTTCGAAATTTTTGCTGTCTTTTGCGAATATCTCTGAACGCTCCAGGAAATTTTGTTTGCAAAATTCAGATTCGAATTCAGCACCTCCAAAAACATATGAAACCACTGAAAAACCGACTACTTGAATTTTTTTCAAGTGAAAATACCATTTGATTGGACTTATAGTGTTTGCAAAGTCACTTGAGAGAAATTCAGTAAAAAACATCGCCGGGGGAACGCGGTAGGTTTGAACTTTTCAAAGGGACCAGCAGGCGCGGTCGATCTCTTTTGATCGAGCTGTCTCACGTGACTTTGCAAAGACTATACTTATTTATGTGTCAAACTTATTGCAATTGGCAATAAGGTGACGAATGCAGTCTCTGTTAAGGTGACGATTCAGATACGACATCTGGTAGGCAAATTTGAACCAGTTTAGGACGTAATTCAAGGTCATTCTTGTTATTGTTTCTAATTCTGTTCATTTGATTGAAAATTCATGTAGTTCATTCAACAAATTACTTTAATTTTCTGTTCTTGATTTTCTTGAGTTCAGGACAAGAACTTTATATTGATTACCGACACAATTCTACATTATTTTATAAATCATGAATCAACGAATTACTCAAAAACCGAGGAATCAACAGTGTTCTGTTGATGAAGAAGTCTTATTTTCTGATGATGAAAAATCAGTTCAGTTGGATAGAGAAAATGGATAATGGAGGAGCATCGAATATGAATTTGAAAACTGGATGTATAAATATGTACCTACTACAAAAAGTTGAAAAGCTTCCTATATCCCTCACCTTTCCCACTTTCATTGCTCCAATTAATGAAAAAAAGGTGAAGTTGTGATTCATAGAAATAAATTATTACTGATTACTAACTTTTTGTTTATATACTCAAGTATTTCTTCGATATATGGGTTATCTTTGGTTATTTTGGTTCAGATATTGATGATGTTATCTCAATATCACTCCCTCAATATCATTATTATCTACATATTATTATCTCGATATTATTTCATATTGCTTAATCTATAATTGTTATCTTCATTGATAATATCTACATACTTTTTATCTTTTATTCGAGAGAAGAAATATACATATATCTCATCTCAAAGAATTCTGATTTTGATATTCAGATATTTGTTTTTGATGAGAAAATTTTCTTGTTTCATTTTTTTTTTGATAATTGTTGATAATTATGATAATTTTCAACATTTATACATATAAATTGCTTTGCCTCAAGAGAAATTCAACTGTCGATTATACTTCTCGAATTATTGACAATTTGGATAATTTTAAATATTTGTACTTATAAATATCTCTGTTTCTGGAGGAATTCAATTTTCAGAGATATTCAATTTTCTATTTCTTATTTCCATAATCGATAATCTACAGTATAAGTTACATAATTTAGTCTTTCAAGCATTCAACTTTTAATAAGTTGAATATCTATCTAAAATTTATCTAAAAACGTTTTTAGAGGACTCCAAGGACTTAAAACTACTAGGTATCTCTGTCCACAACTACCAAATCCTCAGATGGGACAGTAAACCCCAAAAACACCCTATATAGTATAAAATTGACCAAGGTGGAGAAGTTGGGAAATATACTAGATAAAGTTGTATGGCCAGGTAACAGTCAGATTTAGGATAAAAAGCAATAGGTAGCTGGAGAGTTATTTAATGTGAAGAAACCATTGTAAATAATTAATTCATTTGTTAGTATCATTGTATAAATTAATTTGATAGATCTGATTGTTCTGACTGAGCATATGTTTTTCATTTATTTCTAAGCAGGGAAATTTATCCAGGACAGTGTGGATAAGTTTCTGTCGCCTTTTCACTAGTGTATGAGACTTGCAGCAATCTGACCCACCCCCTGAGAGACGATAAAAGTATTCAGTTATTTTCAAGTCACAGAATAAAGAAAATATATTTCATGTAAAACTTTTGAACGGTTGCAATGGTATCAATGATATTCGGCCAACTAAATTAACTCATAATAATGCCCATTTCGATATGTAAACGACTGTGCAGTGATTATGTTTTATACAGGTTGGGACGACTTTTTTTTCGTTTAATGGAGACATTTTTGACAGGGGTAACAAATTTTACATTTTGCTTCCACCGTTTGATTCCTTCATCATTCTCTACAAAAATAGTATAATTTACTTTAATCAATATCTTTTACCGTTCTAGAGAAAATCGTATTTCAAAAACATAATTACATCCCAACCGTTTCAAAGGTAATAAAAACTCTATATATTCAATAACATCATGATAGTTGCAGCCCTTGTCATAATTGACATCGAATTATTTTGACAGCATTCAATACTTTGGTAACACCATGGATGAGTTTAGTAATGATGAGTATGCAGACTTGCAGAAACTTTCAAGGTCAATAACTCCGTAACGAAGTGCGAAAGACATTTTTATTTATATAAAGTACCTTCCTTATTTTGGACACACTGTATATCTTAGAAACACTATGAGCCCGGAGTTCAATGCCCTGTAGTTCCTGATATACTAATCCTACTTAGGGGATATATGGACGAATATGATGTATCAGCCTGTGGAAGCAGGGGTTCATGAACTCATGGGCTATACACTGCAACCTAACATGTCTTATAACACATCAGGGAATCAAAGACAACGATTAACTGAACTATAGTGTTTATAAGTGAGTGAGATGAATCATCAAGGTATACGATAGTATGACAAAGATGGTATAGACGATAAATTATCTTATATAACTGCGAAAAAATATCTGATAGGGGTCGAATGATTATTTTCAAAGTCCATTTTCTAACTATAATCTTGTTCTATATCAAATCTGAGAGGTAACGAAAGGACTGTTCTGAAAGAGGGGCATGTTTCACGTTAAAAAGAGCCAGCTGCAAATTTCGACCGTCATCTGATAACTTTCATGTTGATGACATCATTATGACGTCCTAAAACTAACGTCACAGTGGCGTCACATTACTAACCAAGTTTCACAAATATGCCGACGTGATCAATCGTGATCTGGTTGTGTGGGAAATTATTTACGCTTTCGCGCTTTTCTTAGGCTCTCTTATCTCACGATAGTGATAGTGATAGTTTACCTGTAATATGCCTTGGGCCATGTCGGGCATAGGTCACGAGCCGTGATAGCATCTTGAAGAGCTTGTGAGAAAAGTCCCTGTTTCAATCTCGCTGCCGACCTGTTCGAAAACAGAATATGGTTGGATGGGTCCAACTGCAGAGCATCCGTGTAAAGGGACACAGCAGTTGCGAAATCTCCATTCTGACACGCGGCGTTGGATTGACGGACCTGAAAATTAGTAAATTGGTGAGGGTTATCCATATGCTGCATATTCTAGTTTTCTATTCGTCTATTCAGTTCAGTACCGTAGAATGGTGATAATTGGAACTGTGAAGTTAATTAGAACAAAACTTCACTTTTTCAAATTATCCGCTGGAATGTACAGTGTGTCCAGTTTTCGATGCTTTTGCATGATATCTCAGTTATCTTTGGAGATAGAACCTTGCGGTTTTCGCGGTCCTGTGCCACTTTTTTGTGAAACTCAAGATGACCTAATGAAATTTTGCAAGACTGTTTCCGTTTATGAGATACAGGGCGATTTGAAAAATTTATACTTTTTGGACCCCCTCTATACGAAGTTTATCAGCGAAAATGTCAAATCAAAATCTTTTATGCAGAATCCAGTGGCGCACAAATTTTTTTTTCCGGGGTGTGGTTTTGAAAATACGACTCAAACTTATGATTTTTCAAATTGAACACCTTGTATTTTATAGGCTCATTAAATTCCTTATTTTTTTCCCTTCGAAATGACATATGATGTATGAATATAACATCTTCAAAAATGTTAAAAAATCACTAAAACATTGAATTTTAATAGTGGGCTATGGGTTTTTCGAGGGATTTTCATATAAAGAAATTTACAATTGGAGGAATATATCCTTTGATTGTTCCATGAAGGGAGAAATAACAATTTCAACACTAATTAACTTGCAATACACAAGACTCAGATACCTGATATCCACAAATGTATAGTCGTAATGAAAAGTTTATAATGTAGAATAAGCACCTGATTGAATATTTACTAAAACAATTGAATTTCGAAATTATTCAGTGATTTATTCATTGAATTGTTCAAATTGATATCCATTCTTCATCACAAACTTTCTCAATACATATTAATCATTGAAAGATGTCTTTGTAATTCCTGGAAAACTGCCTCTGTTGTTGCACAAAGTTCTTCAATTATGTTGGGCCACTCACTGTATTGAGAGGTATTGAGAAAGTTTGTCAACTGTATGTTGGGGAAAATGGATATCAATTCGAACATGTCAATGAATAATTTACTGAATAATTCCGGAATTCAATTATTTTAGTGAATATTTAATCAGGTGCTTATTCTACATTATGAACTTTTTATTACTATTCATTTGTTTCTATCCAGGTACCCAAGTTCAGTGTTTTGTTAATTAATAAGTGTTGATATTGGTTTTGACCTCTCCATGGAAAAATTTAAAGAAATATGTCTTCAATTGGAACGTTTTTCATAAGAAAAATCCATAACCAACTACCAAAATTCAATATTTTAGTGATTTTGAGCAATTTTAAAAATTTTATATTCATTCGTTCTATATCATTTTGAAGACTAAAAAATAAGGAATTTTATGAGCTTATGAAATACAGGGTGTTCCATTTAAAAAATCATAAGTTTGATTCGTATCTCCAAAACCATACACGAAAAAAAAATTTAAGTGCGCCACTGGATTATGCGTGAAATTCTCTATGCGATAAGATTTTGATTCGACATTTTTGTTGAGAAACTTCGTGGATATAGAGGGGATCCAAAAAGTATAAATTTTCAAAATCGGCCTGTACCTCATAAACGGAAACAGTCTTACAAAATCTGATTAGGAAATCTTGAGTTTCACAAAAAAGTGGCACAGGACCGCGAAAACCGCAAGGTTCTATCTCCAAAGATAACTGAGATATCAGGCAAAAGCATCGAAAACTGGACACACTGTACAGCTGATATCATTTTGAGACATTTTATCATGCATATTATAGTTGTTCGGTAATACTAGTCGATTGAAAATATCAAGTGACGTTAACCTACTTGAAAAATGTCGAACAACATTCTACCAAAACTTGTTCGCCTATAGAACGGCGAAGCATTGGAATTCTTTGCCAATCGAAGTATTCTCAAGAACTTATAACCTCCAAGAGTTCAAAAACAAATCCCAACACCTACCTCCCCCTAGGAACGCACGATGTTCCATGAACATTACAGGAATTTTCTTTCGTGCACTCCAAGAGATGAATAAAAAAATATTCATCATAAATAAAATAAAGGCAGGGATATGGCCTCGGATATGGCAGAAAAGTATTACCCCATTCTACTGTACTATATAGCTATTTAGATTATCAATAGTAATACTATAAGTACTTCAAAATATTCGGGTTATACAATACACATCGATAGCTTGATAATGCATAATAATTTCAAAGAGTATCAGTTTACCAGTTGAAATAATCCGAGGCGTTAGCCCTCATTGTATTTTGACAAAATTATCATCCCTTGCAATCTTTTGTATACAGTAACGATACAGTGCCCGCCTAAACCCGTTCCCCCCTACTAATTTTTGAACCCCCTGATATATCGCAACAAAATTTGGAGGGCTCAAATAGGAGATGATTACCTACTTCTTCATGAAAAAACGACATTATGAAGTTTTCAAATGGCGGCTGAACGCCATCTTCAATAAATTCCATCTTCGAAATATCCTCATGATGCTTAACAGTTTCATCGAATAAACTTTACTCCCAGATTCAATAAATGTCGAAATATCAACGTTCGAAAAGTGACATTTTCGGGATTTCAAACCGAACCAAATATTGCTTCAAGTTTGCTTGGGAAAAAATCAGGGTGTTACTGTGACAACGATTTTTTCCCGAAGTAAACTTGATTGAAAGCAACATTCGTGTTTTTGTTGGGTTTGAATTTGAGCAGTGTCACTATTCAAACATAAATATTTCGAAAATGTTGAATTTACTAGGGGAGTGTAATAGATGAAATTGTTGAGAATCATGAGGGGATTTGAAGAATTTAATAATATACGGGGTGTTCCATTTGAGAAAATTATTCAAGATAGCGCTCAGCCGTTACTGTAAAACTTTGAGCTGTCGTTTTTTTATGAAAAATTTAGGTTTCCATCTTCTATATGAGCCTTTCAAATTTCGTTACGATATATCAGGTGGTTCAAAATTAGTAGGGGGGCGACCGAATTTGGACGGGCACAGTATACAGTGTGACCCACTTTTGATGGAAACACCCCTGTATCTTACGTAATCGTTGGGTAAGGATCCTGAAATTTGCTGGAGCGATAGATATACCAAAAATGCACTCTATAACCAAGTGGGGTCATCTTCAGTGATATACACTGCTCGCCATCAGCCATGGAACCAAAATAGGTTGAAAATCACTTCGGATTCGGAATCAGGACGCCCAATTTACTGAATATTTATAGTTTTGCCCTATCAGAATTTTTGTATTTCAATTTTTACCCAGTTTTTTTCGTATCAAAATACTTTTCATTTACACTATCTTCTTATTATTAACGATCAACACTCGCATATGTTATGATTGAGGTCAGGTCATATGAGCGACAAAAAGGAAAAGCGAAACTGTGTCTATGATGAAGTTATTGTTGCTCCGAAGAAATCCAAGTTTCAATTAAAAAAGCATTTGACCTTGAACCCAATGAAATGTCCTTGTTTGTCCTTTGAAATTGCGCTTCTGAGGAAACTCTTTATTGTGCAAAAAACAGAATTATACGATTATCTCAGTTATTCAGCGTCATTACAATTACCAACGTTCGAGATGAATGTATCGAATTCTGATTCATCCTAATTAAGATGGATACCTATTTATAAAAAAACATCTTCGTAATCCTTATTGATAAATAATTGTTGATGAGAAAATAATATACAAGTTGTCCTTCAATGTCATGTACATAGATATTGAACGAAATCATTCCTTGCCTTATTCTAGGGCTGAAAGTTCCTATATAAACATATACAGGATGTTTACTAATTGAATGTCAATATTTGAGGAGGCGATTCTCGGGCCTGTTTTAAGAAGAAAATTTCATAGGAACGTATAACCTAACTCAACTTTTGGGATACAGGGTGGTAAAGTTCTCAAAAATAAATTGTTTTTCATCAATATCTGTTATACCACTTCAGATATTCTGATGAAATTTGGCATACATGGCATCAGTTCTCGCATCAGTTAGTGTACCCCATTTCATTGTGTTGCCACTAGTGGCGTTCGTATGGAATCTCACATACCTATTTTGGCAGACATTGACGGTACGCCACTGATTGATCTCGAAATTGAAATCATTCCTGAAAGTTTCCATAATTTCTAGGCGAGTTTGATCTTTACCATTTTTTTAATCTGATGCACGCTTTTCGCATAAAAAAAATAAAAAACCGTTCAACTGCATGATCATAACAATATCGTTTAATATGACAATATCACAATGCAGATAACAGTTAATTTTTCAACAAGCATATAATAGCTCATGATATACGAGTAGAATACTATACTTTGTCGACGACTACTATTGTCTTTGATACATACATATATTTTCAGCAACTGTTTCATCATGACTCATTTGACAATATGTTATATTAATAATTTGTCCACGACTATTGTACTTCCTCAAGCAAAACGATAGCTATTTTTCACACCAGTGAATAATAGCGGTGAATAACCATTATTCACTGGTCTAAAGATCGCGTTTATATGTTCGCGCACCCTAGGAACTCTAGACCAGTGAATTATGTTTATTCATGCTATTATTCACTGGTGTGCAAAATGGCTACCGTTTGCTTGGGGAAGTACACGTATTATGAATATTTTATACAACAGTCGTGGGTAACAGATTTTATTTTTCAAGAGATCATAAACTATGAATTGTATTACTAAAATTTGATCTGAACAATAAAATCTATTTCTCTGCATTTTGATATCGTCATATTAACGATATTGTTATGATCATGCAGTGAATAGGTTTTTATTTATCCAAGCGAAAACCGTGCATCAGATTGATAAAATTGTGGTGGTCGCTTAGAGATGATTGGGAACTTCAGGGATGATTTCAATTTCAAGATTAATCAGTGGCCTACCATCAATGTCTACCAGAATAACTATGAGAAATTCCATACGAACGCCACTGGTGGCAACAACAAAATATGGGGTACACTGACTGATGCCTCTTGATACATGGTATATTACGCCAAATTTCATTAGAATATCTTAAGTGGTATCACATATATTAATAAAAAACCTCGTAAAAAACTATTTAGTATTGAGAACTTCACCACCCTGTATCTCAAAAGTGAAGATGTTTAGGTCATACGTTATTCATATGAAATTTTCTTCTTGAAACGGGTACAAGAATCGCCTCCTGAAATATTGACATTTAATTAGGAAACACCCTGGATATGTCTGGCATCGCTTCGTTTTCGAGCAGTGCCGGATTTATACTCCCTTACGCCAGAGGCTAACTTTTACGATGCCGCCGCGCCGCCGCCAAATATTAAATTTCAATTGTCAGATTCAAAATTCAACCAATCCTCTCACTGCTTTTTTCACGGCATATAACGATAACATGAAATCATTATGTACAACGAATCAAATTATATTTACTTCACACGTTAAACATAACAACGAATATTTGTTTTTCAGATGAATACTAAAATACTCTTGATTTTTTTTATGCGAAGTCGTCAATGGCCTCATCAAAATTCAGATTTGATAACATGTCACTGTTAATACTTAAAATTGGTAAGATTTTTGATGTATCCTCTACCATGGAGCTCCTAAGATAGTTTTTCCCTTTTTTTAACGACTATAATCATCAGGGATAGTAAAAAAATTCTCAGTGATTGCCAATAATCAATGAATTAGGAATTTGTTGTGATTATCCCTAGAACAACCCTTATTCGTGTTCATATTTTGCTCATCTATTTTTGAGATTCTGACATTTCTGACTCTTCTTTTTCGCGTATTGAAAGTAAAAAAAATATAAAACTTATACCATTCCCGTCTTGACATCGTGAAGTTCCTGGAGACGGTTCTGATTATGTCTCATTTGAATTTATAAAAAATGAATGTATTTTAGGGCATTTCTTGACAACTTCGTCTAACTGCTTTTGTTTATTGATCTTCTGCCGTTACCAGAATACACCACCTATTCTTTTTTACTCATTTTTTCAAATTTCAGTTACGATATTTATTTATTATTAGTACCTACCAACAATACCAACGACAACCTATGAAATACTGAACTCTGATTTTGATTGTTGTTATTGATCGAGTCACGAAATTACCCTTACTCTACTGAGTAGAATGAGTTTTTTTTCTCATCATCAAATAAAAGTATGTTGCGCCGCCGCTTTTGTATTGTAGCGTCCATTAGCGTCCAAGACACAGCTGACGCTACAGCGGTACCTAATTGCGCGTTTGCTTCAGGAGGCGACTAAAGAGGCGGCATATAAAAAGCAAAAAGCAATATAATGTATTTGTCGCCTCGTCGGCGACGACTGTATTACTGCTTGCTTTTCTCTTTTATCTTTTTCTCTACCGCCTCTTGAAATTCACCGCCGGGGGCTGATAGTCCCATAGCCCCCTTAAATCCGGCACTGTTTTCGAGATACAGGTCGTTAGAGTTGAAAATATGCATATATAGTTTTTTCTTTTGACCACCTTGCACTCATAGCTTTTCGCGAAGGCAAAATTTGGTCTGTCATGTGACTGAAATAGTGCAAAATTAAAGTTCCAGAATGATACATATTATAACCTGTAACCAGTAAACTAAATGGATGTCTTGAATGATGTACGTTGTACCCTTGATTATATACACAGTGTGAATACTCAATGGTTGTACTCAGAATTTGCATCAGAATATACATCAAAATTTTTAGTATTTCCGATTTTTCTAGATAACGATTCGTCCTATCGACTTTCAACAATAGGAGGTCATTATTTGTACAACATCAGATGGCCTTTCATATTTTTGTATAAAATTTGGAAATTGTTGTTCCCTGCTCACAAAACGAACAATCTAACATCCCCCAAACGACAGCAATCCAATTAGCCAAATAACCAAGTATGAGCTATCGTTGTATTCCAAATAGAGTGACACGCACTTTCAATGACAATATACAGGGGGTGCCATGTGACAAGAAATAGTGAGGGATAGCTACCACCAGGGCTCTCAAACGTAAAACATTTTTCATAAGTCATTCGGAAGGTACTTTAATGCGATTTCAAGCAGTTTTTGTTTATTTTCTTATTAGTCTTTCAAATAAGGGAGATATTGCCTGTAACGATATTTTGGGACACCCGGTATGTTTATAGGTACTTTTTCTTCTCAAAATGAGTCAAGAGATTGCCTCCTTCGATATGTACATAACATCTAGGAACATCCTGTATATATTTACCTTTTCAAGAAACAGAGATCTGCTAGCTGCTGGCAATGCAGACGTTCCTTCTGGTTCAGCCTAGAAAGATAAATCGAAATAAGTTATTTCTTCAAACACCAGAAAATATTGTCAACTGTGTCAAGAAATCATAGTTTGACATTCCATTGTCGACTACATGGAAGAAAGGGAAGAAAGCTGGAAGAAAGAATCAAGTTGCGCCCTCTATATGAGAGTCACAGTCGTTTCGACATAATCGTGAAGAATCTGTATGAAAATTGTTTCTTGTATCTTGAAAACGGATGACGTTTTGAAAACTTATAGATGAGCTAACCACACTAATTTTGCAATGTTCTATACCCTCGGTTCTGAGTATATGTCTTTGGTTTGTCGCGAATATGTCAGAAACTTCTACATTCAGGCATGTGGAATGTTATTACTTTCAGGTTGAGTATCAATAAGTAACGGATGTCACATACCGATTTGACATTCCATCTTCCATCTGTCTTTAAGAATAAATATGGAAGAACATAGACGGGATTGGCGCAGTGGACGAGCGCCTGCGTGGGTTCGAATCCCAGCCAGCGCAAGTGATTTTTTTAAATATTCAATTTGCCAATTTATGAAGTTTCGGAGCATCGGGTGGGGATAGACCTGCACGATTCACTGTTGCATTCCAATTAACAGTGCTGCTGATAAGGTGGCGTATTGAGTTAGTAACAAAGCCAACACAGAACATATCATTTCAGAACACTTCATCGGTTGAAGGACCTAATTGAATGTCGATGGCTAGTTGGTATATAAATAGTAAATATGGCAGCATACGAACGTAACTAGGCCACTGGTTAACGGAATTCAAAAATTATAACTCCAAGTAATCAGCTCGATTATTCTGGAATAGTATACAAAGTTTAAATTTTTTCCTACATCAGGGGTTTCGCAGAAATCAACTTGAATCTAAATTTGTTTGTACTTCTGACAGCCTTTATCTCAGAGAGAATGAATTTTTGGACATATACCTTCCACCTCAAAGTAGGGTTATATAGGAATGCGTAATACAAAGTTTCTCGGTTTTATTCTTACTCACCCAGTATAAGGCGTGATAACATTATTTTAACAAAAAATATTGATTTCAAGTAATTGAGACAATGTAAATAATTTTGGAGTATACAGGGTGAGTCAGAATAAGACCTACAAACTTCGTACACGGATTCCTCACCTCATTTTGCGGCGAGTTTTGAGGTGAAAAGTTACTATCAACATATGTTGTATGTATGTTCATATTCACTGAGATACAGAGTGTCGAAAGTACGAGAAAAGCTAATATTTCTCTAAATTTCTCCAGAACCCCAGCTGTAACAAAACAAATGTTTTCAATTTTTTCGACATTCAGAAATATTCCGGAGGTTGAAAAGTAATATCGATATCTCCTATGATATCAGCATTATGCGATTATGGTACGCAGCAAATTAGATCTCTACTCAGTTTTTCGCAAATATATCCGGAACCTCTACATTTAGGCACGCAGAATGTTATTACTTTTAGGTTAAGTATTCATAATCCTAACTGATGAAATTCACTAATTTGATTATTCATCTGTCAGAAAAATTTTTAAGGAAAATGTGGCGACATACGACCCTTACTACGCCACTGGTTGACGAAATTCAAAAATAAACTTTTTGTGATCACTCTGATTGATCTGGATTGGTATACCAAATTTCAATTTTTTGCTGATGGGATTTTGGAGAAATTCAGAGAAATCTGAACTTTTCTCGTAGTTTCGACACCCTGTATCTCAGTGAGGATCTCGGTGAGGATGCATTTTAGGACATACGGTGATAGAAACTCTTCACCTCAAAATGAGGTGTGGAATCCGTGTACGAAGTTTGTCGGTCCTAACACGGTAAAAATGTTTTGAGTTAATTGATTTTAACTCCACACAAAATGTCTCAGGAGTATGAATAACAATTTTCGTGAAATCGTACACAATTTGGGCTACAATTCAACAAAATTTTAGTTCTTGATTAACATTGTGCATTTCTATTTTGACGAAAAGCTCTACTCAATATAGGATTTTCTACCATGTAAGATGCTTGAGAAAATGTACAGGGTGATTGAACATAAATGCCCCCCCCTCTAGGGGGTGAACCGATTCAAAAATTTGAGAAATAATTTTCCAGAATTTTTTTTCACGTTGCATCAGAAAATACAGGGTGCTCGAAACAAACAATCTACAGAGTACTACTTGATTTTTTCAAACGGAACACACTGTATTTCATTGTATTTCTAAATTCTTCCTGAAGAGCTGATTTCATCGATGTATCACACTTGGGGTCTAGCGGGAATGATTACAGAAATATAGGGTGTTCAAAATCGAGATTTTTCAAATTTAAGATTTTCTTGTGTCGAAACTATTCATTATTGGTCAAAACGGCTTCTATGTCCCATCTCAACTTTTGATTCACTATCTACTGACATTTAATTAGAACATTTACAGGGTGGTTCAAGATTCAGAATTCTGATCACCCTGCATCTGTTCCAATCATTAAATGTCAGTAGATAGTAAATCAAAAGTTGAGATATGGACATGAAAGCCGTTTTGACCGATAATGAATAGTTTCCTCACAAAAAAATTCTGAAGTTGAGAAATCTCGATTTTGAACACCCTACATCTCTGTAATCATTCTCGCTAGAAAAAAACTTTATCGAAAATCATTTGAGATGATATTTCAAATTTTGAAATCTGTACAAAAATAACTGAGCTAGAGGGAGGGGACATTTATGGTGAATCACCCTGTACATGGGAGTCCATTGAAAAAATATATGTCATTGACTCTCTGATTTTCTGTTTTCGGTGCACTCTGTGTATATGCGGCAATTATTTTTCGTTATAGACCCTACACGGTAAAAATTTTTGAGTTTATTTTAACTCCAGCAGGGAGATTCTATTTCACGAATCGAGTCGAATCGGCCATCTTTATTCGATATTTGGTATTCTGTTTCTCGAATGAAAGTGTGTTATCAACTTATTACTTCATAAATATAATACCTATATAATATATAGATGTCGTTCACACTCAGAGATGCCCACTGGAAAATGTTGATAACATTTTTTTCTACAAGCGTGCGTGATTCACCCTATACCCGCACGCAATTTAGTTTCGGAAATGTCATTTTCCCGCACTAGTGCGGGAAAAACATAGATATGATAATATGGCAAAATATAAGTGGTCGGTGATGGAATATGAGATTTTGAGTTTGTTTGTTGCAGTATTAAGTATATATGTTCAGAATCATCCATCAAATTGCACTATTTATTGTGAATATTAAGGAATATTGAAAAATTAGAATTGATTATTATTAAAATCCCCTATTGATTTGGATTGATCTGATGGGAAAGATTATTGTTGTCATGCCAATCAAACCTCAAATGAGTTTGTTATTGTCGAAGTGACAGACACAGCGTTACTGTCATTTTCGATTCAGTGGAATTGCCACAATGTGATCAAAAACTTCCAGCTATAGGGATGCGATACAGATGCGTTATTGCCAACGAAGTCTTGAGAAATGTATGAGAAGCTATACACGCGTTTTATTGAATGGTGCAACAATAAAGAAATGAAAATACCGAATGAAGAAGAAGTATTTTTGGTTCATTTCCTAGAAGTGTCTGAAACCTAGAGACCAAACACCTTATGGGCCTGCTGGCTTCCGCAATGAACCTATACATAATGCGTCAAACTGTAAGTTCACAATAGCTATTACTAATAATCAGTAGATAGAGAATATATTTCTCTTGTTAGTTGTTCCTATATATGAATGAATAATTGATTGAACAAATCAATCAATTTCCTACGCTTGTAGAAAAAATATTGTTCCTAACTCATGCGGAAAGTGTCTTTCCCGCACTCGACTGGAAAGATTCACTTTCCGCACTTGTTAGGAAAATTACTATTAGAACAGCACAGAACATATGGCCACGGCCACAGGTGATTTTCAGAGTCTAATGGTCCTGACATCAATAAAATACTGTGAATCAGGCTAAGCCAAGTAATAGCTATTTGTATTACTAGGGAGGAAAGTGCCACTTTTCCTCCCAAGGGAGGAAAAGACACTTTACTCCCATGTGATACATATGATTTTTCCTCCTACCCACCTTTTTTTGAAAATTTATTTACGACACAAATACACAAGAATTATTTATTAAACAAATTTATCAATATATGCTATACAATTAAGTACATAGTATTGTTCAACTATATTTTAGAATTATTTATGTTAATATTGAATGTGCAGTTTTGAGCAGCACTTATATGAACACCATTGGAAGAAGATAGGGTTTGAACAGGAGCTTTAATATTTGAAATATTTTCGCTTAGCACATTGTAATGGTGGTAACTTCTAGAAGTGCTTGGCTGATTTTGATCAAGTTCAGGTTCTACATTATTAGGTGGTGTATTTGGAAATTCAAAATCACTTGAATCTCTCTCCATTTTTCAAAAATTCAACTGAGTTTAATGAATGTAGCGACTTTGCACCTTAAAAGTCAATCGCCGTGTTTACTGTCAGTGAGCCACAGCATACTATGCTTTTCTTATTCTGAACTCAAAAAACGTATATCTAAGATTTCTGAAGTTGAAATTTGTATTGAAGAACTACGTTGAAGTAACATTAATGTTTGATTTTTACCAAAAAACAGGGTATACAGGATGTTCTAGAAATTATGGAAACAATATGAATATAATGAATTCACAAGTTTCATCGTTTACAACTTACTTGAAATGAGGGGGAGGAAAAGTACTTTTCCTCCCTGATTTGAGGGAGGAAAGTGTGTACTTTCTATAGGGGTAGGAGGAAAATTCATTATTAGGTCTTGGCGAGTGAACTCCTGAGAAATGACATAAGGTAGCATCTTTGCTATGATCCAGTTGCAATAAACGTGATAAAACCTCAATGCACAAAATATTTGAGATTCTGTATACCTATTCCCTTCATACTTCGACCTATCCACTAATAAGTGGGGTCGCAATGATTGTATCAGAAAACGAACCAACCTTTTGTTCAATCTGAATAGCTCAATA